GCACGATCTCGGTATTCTTTAGATACTACGAGATCGCCAATAAATACATCTTGACTACAGCCATCAACTGCCTTCTGATATTCGGCCTACGGGGCATGTTATCGGTTAACTGGCACGTAGTCTTCCTGTAGTGGTGATCATAGTCAACCGCGACTCGACGCTACACTACAATAGGTCAATATATTTGGTGTGAATGAGGACAAGTTGGACCAAATGACCACGTCCGCAAGGCTGAGCCATGCTAAACAGATCGAAAAGTTCCCGTGTTCATCTTTGTCAACATTCTCTCCCTGTCGAACTTTGACTGGGAATTTTCTCAGTTATCTTATGTTCAGCTTTGAGGATCGTGTGGTTATAATCAATACCACTAAAAGTGTAATGTTTAATCACCACAAATAATTTACTACACAAACTGTTCTCAGTCAAATGACCACTGGAAATCAGGAAGTATTGGCTATCTCTACCATGTTAGCAAAGAACTCTTCTGTGACAGTGAGCACCATCGTAGGTCAAACTCCGAACCTTCAAATATCTCGGCTACTTCTCAACTAAATTAGTTTCACATATTACAATATTTCTATTAAATTAAGGACTCTTTGTTCAGGATTTTCTCACTTTGTTCTCAATCTGACAACATCTGTTTGTATAGTATCACAGTCTTTTTCCTTCACCAGGTACTCGTCAATCCGTAACCTTTACAGTGTGTTTTATAAATATCTAGAGGTTTTCATTTCTCTTACGGCATACATAATAACCTTTGAATAACTCATTCGGTCTGAAGATATAACAATATAGCCGATACAATGATCTGGAAGTTACGTAGATTAACCATGCTTGGATGGTCGAGCCATACCATCTGGATTAATTGTTCCCACATTCACCTAACATTCTTCAAGCGTCCAACGGCTGATAAGAGTCTTTTAAGTTATTGTACGTTCCGGTTCACTGAAAGTGTGATTCAAAACTAATTTCACTACAAGCGGTCTAGTTATCCAACAAGCCCTATCTAGTGGGAAAAACTGACGACATTCGAAAGCCTCTTTTGATAAACAGAGCATCAGTAAACATAGAACACGGAATATTCAAGCAATGTAGAAGTCCAGGAGGGTCCGTAGTGGCATTGAGCCCTAACTGTATAGTCCTCAAAGCTGAACACGAGACAATTGGGGAAGTAGATATTTAACATTTAAATCGGAGAAAAATCCAACGATGAGGAAGACGGGTACAAGGAATTGAATTAACTCGAGTTGATCGGATGGAATGGCTCGGCTTTGTAGGCGTGGTCCCTATCAAATGTTACCTCATATCTTTTATTCATATTAAATATGTTGTTCCGTCTCTAGCCTAAGCTTGTTCTTCATCATGTATTGGTAATTGTTACGATGCAGTGAGTTGATCTAGACGATGATGGGACTTCTACGTAAGATCTTATAGATTAGGCAGTTATATCATGACAAATCTACAATATTAGGACTAAGTCTATTATTAGAGCAGTACTAATATCATAGAACAACATAATTCTACAGGTTCCAAAATAGATTCCTGACTGTGTTTGGTAATGATGAGACTTAGCAAGATCTAGTTGGACAAAAAGCTGACCCAGAGAGAGATGCTGTTGTATTTTGGTCGTGAAAAAATATACTTTGGATTGATGCTGTCCTCAGAAAAACTAGAATCCCTCACAGGATTATTATTATTCACAAACGGTTAATCGATACATAAGTGTTGTGAAACATACGAATTCATGATCAAGAAAGCATCCTTCAAAACAAAGAAAGGAGGGTTTACGATGAATATTATTTGCAGCTTTACTCGTCCACCAATGATATAAGTGAACATGACAAAGATCAGTTTCAATACAGGCTGCAGTCCATCACAGAAAAAAAACACAGGAAAAGACCTAACCATCATAAAGAGGGATCTGAACACCAAGATGGGTTAGAGAACACTGAGTGTGGACGTATTATGAGACGATGTGGATTGCGGCAATGAATTGAGAGTGATGAGATACTGACGGATCTATATTCATTCAAGAACACAGTCAAAGGTGTCAGCGTACTCCCTACACGTGCATGCCATATGGATACCATTGTACCACACTACGGTAAATCAGATCGATGACATATGAATAAATAAAAAAACTCGCGAAGTCTCATAAAAAATGTAAAACAACGAAAAGGACTTGTATAACTTTAGATCATCATACTGTAGTGAGTGGGTATGATAATTATTGCCTTATATGTGATGACAAGGGACACGTACATTTAGTAAGGACTCAAATCCCGATATTCCCAAAGATATATTTAAGCGAGTGAGTTGACTGTGATATGCATAAGTGATAAATAGAATTGTAGCGGCAAATAAACCCCCAAAATAAATAGTTCTGTAGGTAATCGACATTTGATGCTGTCCTCATTAGTTTTAAAGGACACATCTAGCTGAGTTCGCTTGGTCACGCATCCGCACCATATCACGAGTGGACATACCGTGCTACACATATCCTACGGACGTTAGCCAGCTTAGATTAACGGCGTTCCGATATATTGGTAGCCTTTCAAATAAATCTTGAAGACCCTTCACTCCTGACTTCCGGTGTGATGGGTGGCATCTTTAGAATCAAAGTAAGATAGAGTTAAATGGACACAAAAGAACTGGAACAATATGAATAAAGAATTTATTGTAGAACCAAACCTATATGTAACTTAATTGGATTTATATCAATACTATCATTTAGAATCACTAGCATGTATATTACTATAGATATATTATTGGCAATAGAACGAAATAATTTTAGGAACTGGTTACACTAGTTCGGTCTGTATTGTATTTAAGCGAGCGCAAACTGTTTTAGTTGATCAAGGGGTCCGAAATATATGCGAATCAAAGTAATAGTGAGATATGACTAATATGTAGACGGATAGACTGTGAAACTGAAAAGGTATGTTATAGGGATCTACATGTAAGATATTTGAATTAATCACTCACTGAATACAGGTTAACTAGCAATTGGTTTGACGGTCACATCCCCAGCCAGATATTGTGTTCCAAAGTGAGTATACAATTGTGAAGATGCAAATGTAGTGTGTGCTACGGATGTCGACAGATATAAGTTTTACATATCACCAGTCGAAAGTGAAACACCTGGAGGTAGAAGGTTAAGAAGATTGAAGAAAAGAGAACGGGAAAAAAGAATGATTGGTGTGGAAATGAAGGAACAATGAAGTCTGAGACGATTGACTGACATTTTGCAAATGAAGTATGAAGTTCCCAGACTTTACTAGAATATTCTGTAATTTTGTATTCAAATACATTCGATTGTCCTCAATTGCGTTCTCGTTCGCTACACAACATGTCTGTATTAGATGCTATACGGAGCTGTAGCTGAAGCTATAGATAGTAAAACAACCACAACCGAAAATATCTAACACAGCCTTTCTTAAAGATAGAACCCAACAGCGAGCCCCAAGCCCTACAAAATCTACCAGAAAAGACGATGAAACACTCAAGATAATAACTGGAAATGGTTAAAAAGGCACAAACTTCAACAAATTAGGCGGAACTAGGACCACAGTGGTCCCAGTATGACAGCAGATAGTGGACATTTTGGGCAAGAATTGCGAAGGAAAAATAAGAAAACCGCAGCAAAATATAAAGAAACCAGATCCAGCTTATTTTTGAGAGCAGACTCATTAAGAAGTACTTAGCAAGACATTGCAATGCTTAAATTTAAGTGTTGGTGGACTTGTGATGCTATCGACTTCGTAAACCTATAGTAGGTATTGACTGAGGTTTTCAATAAATAATATTGATGACTTAGTTCATCTTTTAGTTATTATTGGTGTTTGGTGTCTCGCTCTATGTTTCACACGTAACCACCGCAGTGGTCGTTTAGTGGCCCATGGATCTGACACCAAGAAGATCGTAATGAATGTTTGTTATCACCTATCCTCGTATACAATCATCGACTTAAATCGCGTTAGTCAATAACGGAATCGAATAAGTCAAATAACGAGAAAAGACTTTTGAATACATATATTTTGTACATGAAGCGAATGGAATAGAGAAGAGAAAGGATGCAGAGTAGATATGGTAGGTAAGCGAACTCCATTTTTTAGCCAGGCGTTACTCAATATTTATAGGCAGATAAAATAAACTACAGACATGTGATGAGACATGGGATATGAAGTGTGCACACATATACGCTTATATAAAAACAGTCAAGACTGATAAGCGAATAATTAACAAAGTCAAAATATGACTCAAGTAGAATGAATAGATTGGGCTGTCCGAAAATTAGAATAGAGTATATGGGCTTAACATAATAACTGACACTACAGTCGCCTACATAAGGACGTGTATAACATTAAATGGGTAATAACTCCGGAATTATTTCAAGTGATACAAATCTCTCGCAGAAATCAAGTCACGTTTGCACCACAACATGAAAGTTGCTGTCAGCATGGACAAAGACGTACACGTCCTAACAATCCATCCATGCTCAAAGCAGTAAGAAAAAAGCTAGTATTATTTTCCATATAGAGCCAGAAAGTTGCCAAATGCGGTTGCAACCCAAATAAAAGGGGATTTTTCGCCATGAACCTTCCAATACGTCACTGCTGTAATTTAGTAGCCGATAGAAATTGTACAGTAATTAATGACCACAAACCGTTTAGCTTTTTTTAAACAGTCGAGCCATAAGTACTTCCCACCTGGCCTGCGAAAACTAGCTTATCTATATCAGTTCACTTCCAAGACTTAACTTGGTCAATATTCTAAGGGATGCTCTGCTTACAGTAAGTTCCTTGTATCGTTTCTCTTATTCATATATGGATATCATTTTAGTCATGATCGTGGTCAATCAAGAGAACTTGACTTTACCAATCCTAAGTTTTAAGGGATCATATATTTCGTACATTTCACTGTGTAAGTTATTTTCCTTTACACTGAAAATAATAATTAGTTGTATTTTCAGGTGATTAGTACTTTGCGTTGTATTACATCAGGAGACTAGTCAAGGGCGAGTTCATGCTCAAGCCGCTGATTTTAAGTGCGCAGCGGATAAACCTTTACTCTTCCTCAAAGTTTACGACGTTTCGTCACTCATTTATTATGACCAGTCCTGAAGACCTCAGTAGTTCAGTATGTAGTGTCTTTATGGTCAACATATTCTTCATAGGAAATACAAGCTTTCATCACCAAAGTTAAAAGTTTACCCGGTGGAACTAACATTCAGCAAGATGAAGCTGAGAAAGCGGCTCATTTGTACCTCAGAGCTCGCAAGAGAGATGTGGAGCGTGCTGTGGAATTGTATAAAGCTAACAAGGTATGCAGGTGTTTTGAAATCATGAATTATTGTGACCTCCACATTGAAGTATAATATTGCTGCTAATTTTATGATAAACTTGATATAAAGTGTGAAAAGTATGGCGCTAGTCCGCTTTTTATTTGCCTGCCCATTGCAGATTGTCTCTGCGTCAAATAAACTTGCACTTCGTCTGATCCCTTGCATGATATTCAGCTAGAACTGTCTAGTTTATTCACCGAAGTATCTAATGCTCAATTTAATCGGAATACTATTGTCTAAATCTTGCTTCTCTCAATTATTAAAGGTAGAAAGGACTGAACAAATGTGCTGGAAATATTGATAATTGGATGGTATGAGGCGATATCGAAAATAGGGAAAGGCTTACGACAGGTAGTTCGTTCACTATTAGTCAGTCAGCTACAATGTAGGACCACTAGTAGATTACTTATAACCTTTTGATGTTGAACTTAAGTAAATCATTACCGTGACGCTTAAAAAATGAAGGTTTCTACGGCAGTAAAACACAGTTTATATGTAACAATGTAGCACAATAACTATGATACCTTAGTGACCAATCACCATAACTAATTGGGCGAAAAAGTCTTTGAAAAAACCCCTGATCGGTTCAAACCTCAAATATCATGTCTTACACATGTATTATTGGGTAAAATTGTGTAAGCTCAATGCTTGATTGATGTGTATGACCTCTATATTCGATTTTTCTTATTTAACACATGACGGTTAGTTGAAAAAAGTATGCTCATAGCTACTGGAATGCAAGTATTTGAATGTGATTTAAAGGTTTGCATTCGAAATTGTGCAAGAGGTGATTTTCTATAGTATAACTTCAGTAATTTTAAACATATTACTAGTGACTACATGTATCATTAATTAAAACTTGTAAGACGTCATCAGTCAGCCGCAACATAGGACCAGGCACATATGTGCATCGGTCCAAGTTGCCACATCTCATTAGCGCGACAAGATGAACACCAAATTCATAGCAGTCACTTCAGTGATAGTAATGTATAAAAGAAAGATTGTGTATAAGGATATAATGCAGGAAGGAAGAATTAGTTCGTAGAAAGAAAGATATGAAGCGATTTTAATGTCATAGTTTAAGGGAAGACAGAGAGTGTATACACCTACACCATTGTGATCGATTCTGAGTCATATCAATAAGAGTTTCCAGCCATTGGTTACGATAGTCACGCGGACACCAACCAAGTAATCTGCATCTACTAACATGGCTCAGACTAGAAGTTAGTGACTTCAAGGACTGACACCACGTTTTAGTTTGGCCGCCCCTAACTTTCTTCCAACCATTCCCAACACTAGTCAGCATTGCGCGTTGTGATGATCGGTGTTCAGGCATACGCAACATGTGGCCCAACCATCTCAGTCGATGAAGATTTACAACCTCGTCAGTTTATTTACCATCATTTCCTAATACCCTGCATCTAACCTCACTTTTACTGACCCAGTGATCCCAGAAGATGCGAGCAATAGTTCTAAGGGATCTGTGGTCAAATACTAGTAACTTGCGAGTATCTTCTACTCTTAATGGCCACGTTCTGCAGCCGTAAAGTAAAAGAGAACGAACTGCTGCGCAGTGTACTTGTCTCTTAACTGATATATGGACATCTCGCCTTCTCCATGGATGAAGTAAGTTGGCAAAAGCCAAACGAGCTTTTTGAATCCGTGCTGAGATTTTTTCAGACACCAACCCATTAGGGCTGATCAGACTTCCAAGATAAGTGAAGTTTTCAAGGCGTTCGACTACTTCACTCCCTATCCTTAGATAAGGTGTTGACGCAGGCCAGTCCTGGAGCAACAACTTGCATTTAGAGGGAGAGAAGCGCATTCCAAACATCCTGGCATTGTTGCTGAGTGCTACCAAAAGACTGCATTTTATCAGCGTCTTCACCAAACAGGACCATGTCATCTGCGTATCCTAAGTCGATAAGTAAACCTCCTGGATGGAGATCAATACCCGAGAACTCAGTCGACGAGAAAGTTATTTCCATCAGTAGATCTGTTATGAAGTTAAACAAAAATGGGGAAAGTGGACAGCTTTGACGGACACCACTTGAGGTTGCAAAATCAGATGACAGTTCGCCATAAGCTCTGACTCGACTGGAAGTGTTCGAGTAAAGAGCCTTCACAAGGTTTATGTACTTCTGAGGTACGCCTTTCAATGACAGACACTGCCACAGAACTTCTCGGTCCACAGAGTCAAATGCTGCTTTCAAGTCAAGAAAGACCACTGTCGGACGCCGATAAGTATGCCTATGTTCTAGAACCTGATGAATGGTGAATATGTGGTCGATGCAGCCACGACCAGGTCTGAAGCCAGCTTGATTCTCTCGTCTTTGCAGTTCACGAGTCTTAGGCGTCTGATAATTATCGAGGATAGTATTTTAGATACTATATTAGTTAATCTAATCCCTCTATGGTTGTCACAGGATGATTCTAACCCTCTCTTATATATTGGGACGATAAGTGATTGTGACCGGTGAGATGGGATAACGTCTAACTCCCAGATCTTAGCTAAAATATTAGTCAACCTAATCGCTAAAATTGAACCACCATCCTTAAAGACCTCTGGAGCCAATCCATCTGGACCAGTTGTTCTTCCTCGTTTCAGATTAGCTATAGCTTTTTGAACTTCAACTAGAGTTGGGGGACCTACTTCAATGTTCTATTCAGGCTGCTTGGGAATAGTGGGTAGTTGTAGAGTCGCTGAAAACCAGCTGAACTTCTCCTCAAAGTGTTCCGCCCATTGTTCTAAACGTCGGGGCTGAGAGCAGATAAGTATAATCTTTTTCCGAGGTCGTCTCACTTATACGTGACTTCTTAATTCCAGTTTCTTTTATTAGTCTGAAAAGCCGTCTGGTGTTACTTACAACCTCTGCCTTTTACATCCCTTTTGCTTTCGTTGCCCACCGCTGCTCACGGTCGTTCCTTAGACTTTTGGTTAACCTAGATCTGATTTGTTTACTCTCTTCGTCGTGTTCAGAGCCTGATGGGATGAGTTCACGAGAATCTATCAATGCAATAGACTCAGTAGAAATCCATTGGTTTTTCGTAACCCTTTGGTTTAAATCACTCATAGATGTCGCTGCTGTTTCCACGGCTGTCCGTATATCTTTCCAAGCAACGTCTGGATCAGCCTCGTTTTCGGGACTATATAAGTGTGACTTCAGTTGTTCCTGGAATCTACTTTTGTCTTTCTCGTCACTGAGTCCAACTCTATATATAAGACTTCATGCCAAAGATCTGTTGTCTCGCACGAGAATCATTCAACTTCCGAACAACAAAATGACTTCGGACAGTCCTAGATCGATTTTTGTGAGGAAACTGTCAGACATTTGAAAAGCATAGGTCTTAAACCCTCTGTTAGTAACGGGACATATTGTACCGAATACATCAAAAACACTAACATCCATCCGATAATGCCAAATGTCTACTCTAAGTGTGTAAATAAATTGATTCCCTGTACAAAAGTTGTAGAAAAATGGTATGAAAGGAGAGGAGAAAGGTTCAAAATAGTTTAATATATGCAGCTATACTGGCTGGTTGTGGTTTGGAAGTAGGTTAAGAGCCGCCTAAACAAAACGTGGCGTTAGTCCATGAAGTCATTAACTGTTGGTCTAAGACATTTTTAACAATTTCATTCCGCTGTATTTATGTGCTCTCCCAATCAATTCGAATCAGTGCTCACATGTTCCAGGTTCTACGTTGCTTGTGACTGACTCAAATGTTTTTCAGTCTTGTCCACTACATGAGCACTGTCGACAGAATGTGTAAAAGATAGAGCTATACTCAGTCATGAATATAATCGTTCTACTTATTAATTTATACGTCCACTATATATTGCTAAACTGACTTACTGGTTAAAACATTCATCTTTAAACCACTAAGTCACAAGTTTGAAGTCCATTCCATCTATTTTTTATGAGAAGTGAGGAACAGTATCACTGTCCTTCATACAAGTAGTATTGTTTAATATCCTGATTACAATAAAACTACACCTAATATATGAGTTTGATTATTCCTCAAGATCTTAAGCGTTAATGGTATGATCAGTATTCTTTCATATAATAAGTAATATATACTCAATGCATTTGTATTCTTTGTCTATAAGTAAATAAAATGTAAACCTACTCGTTGTTTATGTTTCTCAATTGATTTTCTATTTTTAGCGAATGCGCTATACTGAAAATGTAGATTCAATCGATCCTTTAGAAGATGGAGTTCGACGTGAGCTTCTATCTGGTAAATTTACTGTATTAGTAAGTTTAGTCGGTAATTAGTTGCGACTTTCGTTTTTTGTTTAATTAAAACTTTTTATTATGCACTTTTAATTAATTAATTATTATTTCACAGAATTAATAAGTAGTCTGTTCCTCCTAGTAGTAGTAGTAGTAAGGTTGACTTGTTGTTTTTCGTTCTGTAAAATAAATAGTCGTAGATCTTCATCAGTTTCTTATTCGTCTGTTATTGTATGTTTGAAGTTTAACTGATATCAGTATAAACATAGTACTGTACTACGGGTATGTATTTTAGCAATTTGTCCACCTCTATCAATTAAACTCAACGTAGAACCTGGTGCTTGTGTACATCGTTCCAAGTTGCCATACTCCATTGGCGCATCGAAATGAAACTGTTAGAGCCAATACCAGAGTGGTAGAGGTAGTAACACTATGAGTGGTGATTGGAAAGATTATCCATAGAAGTTATACAATTCCAGAAGTGCATGTGAATTAGTGAAATAAAAATTATATGAAATTGAGGAACCTAGAATCTGATGTAAGCCATTTGTTCAACTTCACTTCACATAATTCAGTCTAATCAAATCAAATCAATATTTTTAACCATCACATAATAAGTGTATCGTATTGTATAGTTCATGAGTCTGTTTCATTATTCGATAAACTAATTAAAAAACCCTAAACTTCACAAAGTCTGGTTAATCACTATTTTCTTCACTCTTGTTCCCATAGCTCTTTAGTCATTACTCACAGATGTCGGGACTTGGGGCATATGATATTGAAATCACGATGTAAGTAATCCTGAGATTAAGCACAGGGTACTGAGCAAATGTACTAGATCCATTGACTAGTCTATAAACCACCAACTAAAGTGGTCGGGACACGTTTAACATATGTTTTGTACAACACCACCCACTCTGATGCTCTGTGCCTACTGGTATATAAGCAGGGTAGTGAACAAATTAGAATTGAGCAGATCTAATACAATACATCACTTCATAATGATTATTGGTCAGAGCCTTCTTGGTAGGTGAAAAATTCCATGTTGGAATTGGCACAAAAACTTATTTTTGGTTGGAGATACTGGGTATTGCATTGCATAATCGATTAAGACGGTACAGTTGCGTTAATTTCTTCTCTCTAAATCTTATACTTCGTATCATTTCACCCCACACCTTCATATGTTTCTTTAAACTATATTTTTCCAAGAATAGCTTTTTATTTGCATTCGATATTTTCTCTCTCATGCCTCTCTTGTTTCCAGCTTTCTCTGTTTCATGTTGACATAAGCTGTGAAAACATAAACTAACACACAGATTATGTGTTGATCAGGACTATCTGACAACTGAATGGATAATCAAGTCGTTGGATTAAGTTAATTTTATAAAATGATAGATGTGGCAAATTTCATATTTTGTAAATGCCAGTAGTTAAAGCTAGGTTCTTAAGATCATGTTCTCCACCCTATCGCAAACCGTCGTCAGGTTTTTTTGCTTTCTATGAGACATTTAAAGAATAACCATTCAGACACCCTGTCTTCCTCAATAATAATGGGTTCTAACCACATTTCAGTTGATTAATGTTCAACAAACTCTTTATTAGACTTTCAGCTTAACCATCATGGCAAAAACGTTTTATCTCGATTTTTTGTATTTATGTATGTATTTTAGTGGTTAACATCTGTTAGCTTGCTTAAAAGTTATTAGCTCCAATTAACTTCTGAGAAAAAGTTTACTGATACTATATTGAGAAAAGCAGCAATGTTTGTAACAATTTTTTTTACTGACATTAAATAACAGGAGTTAAAAAGAAAAGAAATGAAGTTAATAAGTTCAACTAGGTTTGTATTCGTTCTAATGATAGAATGATCATTTATGGTTTATCTAATTAGTATGTACAACACAAAAACTAAGTCCTATATAGTGTGCTAAAATAAAAAAATCCTGGCATATACAATTAGTTACCTTAATTAAACATACCTTTAGTTCGTTCTTAAAACTATTTAAGTCTGTTTTCAGTAAAATCATGAACAGATCTAAGTCAGATCACCATTGAAGACCTAGAAGCACTGCACGACCATTTCGCTCTAGCATAGGATTCCTTAGATGTGCGCAACCACGACCTCGCGTGCGAATGCTTGACTTCTAAACCACAGAATTCAACGATGTTGATACCAAACTTCAATTAATCCACGATATTGCGCGACCGTCTTCCATTATCCTCGTTGGGTAACCTCACACCCGACACGGATTTGTTCCACTAGTCACGGCTTTCATTAGAACTTCGGAAATTTCCTTTTAAAGCTAGTCACTAGTAAGGGCATGATAATCGTCAGTAAGGGGTTGTGGAAACTGTTAAATTTGACCGAAATCAACGTTAGACTATCATTAAGAACCTGGAAGCAATGTACGACCGTTTTGTCCTTGCACATGGGACTCGAACGCATTTTTTGAATAATCAATATTGTTTCACGATCATCAGCTTCTTTTTCTATGCATTTTCATTTGCCTACCTTTAAAGTAAAGGTATCAATTTGATCTTATTTAAAAATGACTTGTAGCGTTTAAAGTGAAAGAGTTTCATAGTTCACTAGTATTTGAATATATATATCTTCAGTGAAGTCATGAGAACAACTGAGCAAACAATGCCAAAATTTAAACATTCAATATTTCTGTATTAAATGCTATAAATCATAGACGATAAAGTTTGTGAATATTCATTAATGCAATGTGATAGCTTTGTAATATTTTCATCGAATTCTACGTTAATTTTTGCGTGGTGACTGACCCTTAGTTATAACCTACATCATCTTGTAACATGTTAAGTAGTTTCTAATCAAACCTTTTCTCTAATTGGTTTAATTGATATATGGTTTTTTTTCTGGTTTGATAATTTTTGCATATTTGTATATGCCTGGTTTGTTGAATATTTTACTGATAGATAATAATAATAATAATAATAATAATAATAATAATAATAATAATAATAATAATAATAATAATACCAATCGACCATCTCTTTAGTAATGATTCTTTGTATTAATTAAACCATCATAAAACAGATTCACCTGACTAAGGTTTGAAATTCTTCGACTATATATATATATATATATATATATATATATATATATATATATATATATATATATATGACGTATAGTTCTAGTGTTGTTTAACATTTACACCCTTTTCTCTCATTCGACTTTTTTAAATACTTTTCTCGAATTTTGTTGCTTGCCTAAATGCAATAATCGTATCGACTTTTTAACTATAAAATAGTGTTAAACATTTTACGAAACAATATAGTTACTAGAGATGCTTCAATATCTTTTCTTTATGGCATACACACTTTTTATGTCTTAGGGGCTAATATAAAAAGTATAGTTCATTTGAAACTTGTTTTCATATATGAACTAGGAAAATGTACCTATTTTTCTGTAGTCATGTATGTGTATGTATCTTTAAAATTGAACGGATGTTCAGAAATCGTCTAAAAATGTTTATTGATGTTGCTTATTGCATGATCATGGAACATTTAACTTTTTTGGAATTATTCAGCATAAGATGTTTCTAAATTAATTTAGATTTAAGTTTCACACTTGCAATACATGTGATTTCTCGAAAGTGAATAATATTAGAACTTATCAGATGAATTGTCTTCATATACATTTGTACAACTGTTGTCATAAAATACCGTTGACAATAATCTCAACTCTTGTAAGTGAGTGACTTCATGAATCATCTATCCCTCAACAGACTTCCCTTTTTTAAAAATTTGATTTTAAACAAAGTCCTTAACAGTTAGTGAGTTTTTATTCTAGTTGATGAAGTTGCAAACTAGTTGTTACATAATAGTAAGAATTCAAATCTTAAAATGAATAAACCGGACTTTTTTCTCGTTGGATAGAGACAGACGACATTCACATGATCATTTTTATCATTAATAATATAACTTTTTTTTCCAGCCCACTCTTCCTGATGATGAAATGGATGCGACTGTTGCTATATTTACAGCTTATCGTCATTGGCCTCCTTTAACTACACATAGAGATACTTTAAAAGGTGTTCTATATCAGTTAGATGCAGTAATGATGGAGTAAGTAATTCTTTCTTTGTGCATTTCAATTGAGAATATATCCGAATAAACTATTTATTTGAATAAGATAATAATAATAACACATTAACATGTGTTTATTTCCCTGTTAATTTATTTGTAAATGCTTATATTTCCCTGTTGTCGAGGTTAATGGCCGCAAATAACTATTTTCTATTTCTCTTCTAATAAAGATTAAACATTTCCAGTCTTATAACTTAAAAAAAACAATAAAAATTTATCATATTCTAATATTATTATAATTTTGAACTTTTTCCATTTGACCCATTCTCCCTGTTACCATAGTACCATAGTGTTTTTTCTATTGTAGTTTTACACCTGTTGAAATTTATCATTAATATTGTTTTTATTTTCTTACAATCACATGAATTTTAATGTTAAAATAATAATTCAATTAGGGTAAACGTCGTCTTCTTGTCGTCATGAGAATATTATGTATGGAATTAAGTGTTAACTTATGCAGTAATTCTATTCATGGAAATATATCACTGTCCAAGAAATTCATAATAATAATATAAGTATACTTTTAAAAAATCCTATAAATTAAAACAAAACAGTTATGGATTACTATTGGATTTTTTGGCTAGTCTTTCGTCTAACTGATGAATGCAATAATTGTGTTGACTTTCGTTACAAATTATGGGAGTATTCTGTTTTTTTCTTCTGTCTCTTTTTAAAAATGGTATATCATACAAAATAGAAATACATCTAGTTTGATTTTTATTTAGATGAAGTTTTGTTCTCTAAGCTGGATGGTTTGATCGTGGAGCCTTGGTTGTTCTTCTGAACGACATCATCAGCACAAACTTCAGGTAGAAGTGAAGTGTTCAGATTTCTCCACATATGACTCACAACTTGTCCAGTCGACCTCGATCTTGATTGGTTATTGTTGACCTTTAACTTCCTTATTTTGATTGTATCCACAGTTGTCCATATGCATTGATATAAGCGAGGATATGTCATGGTGTTTGACTGCTAGTTGACGTTCGTGCAGGTGAAGATGGAGGGGTCGTCCACTTTGTCCGTTGTAGTGTTTTTCGCAGTTGGAACAATTTATTTTCGTAGATGGTGTTCGGCATTTCTTTTCATTTCGTCCATCGGTATGCATAGGATTGATTGAAGTGATTTTGCTGGTTTGTGTACTACACCTATCCTAAACGGCTTCAATAATCTCGTTGTAATTCCTGACATCTTTTATATGTGGCGGGATGATCCATTTGTTGGTTTCTGTACTTGATTTTGTTTCTGCTGATGCCTTGAGTTGATATTTTTTGATAAAGTTGATTGCGTAGCCGTTCCTTTAAAAGATAGTCTCTAGATATTTTTCTTCATTTTTCCACGCTCCAAGTGTGTTACAATGTTTCCTCGCCCTCTTGAATAAAGTTTGTACGCAGTTGATTTCGTGAGTTCTTGCGTTGTTGCTACTGCAATTGTTTTATAAAATACTGATAATTGATTTTAAAAAATATCTTCTGTACAACCATAAAAGTGGATATGACATAATACTCAAGCTAAATTACAAAAAAAGAAACACTTATCGCTGATGCGGACTGTATATAAAAGTATTTGATGTGATTCAATGCATAGTCAAAGATGTTTGTGTAGCTAAAAGGTATTCTCCCACTTTAAATTCTAGCTCTGAATCTCAACCCCTAGCTTATATAAGTTTATAAACAAAACTGTAACTAAGCATCATTGCATCATAGTTGATGGCAGTTCGTGATGAAAACCCCAACCTTTGTAACCAAAGATGAATAGTGACTAGCAGTGGAATCCAGGATGCGCGTTTCGTCCTACTTGGGACTCGTCGGCTGAATGTACTTGCATCTCAGAGTTGATGTTCACTCTGGGACTCGAATCCAGTACCTTTATTTTTTAACTTTAGTTCGCCTAATATACCCAAATTTAACCCTTCTTTGTTTACTATAATCAATGATGCAACATGTAATCACATCAAAGCCATTCATTCACTGTTATGCTATTGCTTTTTGTTGTTAATTCTTCTTTTTAACTAAATATTTTGTTTCTGATTGACTAATTAAGTAGTTCCAGATCATCAGTATACTACACTTATCATAATTAATTGAAGGAAATCAATACAATCTGTTTTAACTATCGATGGTTTATGGAGATTATTGAATTTCATAGGTATTATCACATATAGATTTTAGTTAGACAACCATTTAAAACTATAAAGCACTGGTCAACTATTTCCACATAGTAATGGAGATACCATAGCAATGCACATCCACGACTCCACCAGAAGTTGAACCCAGGATTTTCAGATCTCGTGTTAAGCACTACACTTTCAGACCACTAAACAAGAATCCAATAGTTTAGATTTCAAACTTTAATCACAATTCACTCACTGCCACAGCAAAACCCCATACTAGGATGAAATAGCTATCCAGTGTTTCCTACTTTTCAATGGTGTTCTCACTATAATCAGTCTATGATGTAAGCTATGAAAATCTAGTTTAAAGGATAAAAATTTAATGAATGAATCAAATACAGTATTACAACATCAATATTTAAAATTCCAATGGTTTACAAACTTCAATGATTATAACTTGTTCAGGTCATTGGTTTGAATTTAGGACCATGTAAAATTTTAGTTTAGACATATGATTAATGACATCACTACTATTGATACGTCTGTATCATTAGTAATTTCTGAGGTTTTGTTCAGTTTTTGTATCATAACCCTTTCGGTGAAAGTATAATATACTTACACTCTTGAGTTAACTAATCAGAACCAAAATGACGCCTCGTGTTTTGTTCGAAGCTAAAAAGTTCAATGATAGATAATGTGTATGTTTTTATTAACCAGGTGAAAATGGGCAATATTTGGTTCTTAAAATCAATGAATATATATATATATATATATATATATATATATATATATATATATATATATATATATATATATATATATTATACAAGGGAATTTTGTATGGTGTTTAAACTGAATTTTGAAACACCTACTCCTAAGGCGGATCGTTTGTTAAAGTACCAGATATTGTTCACTGCGTAATCGAAAGTGTTCAATAAAGCTAGATAATGTTTCCCGTTTCTCACTCTAAGTATCATCCTTACGTTTCTCAAGTTTGTAAACAGAAGGTTGATAAAGCGTTGTATTGTAGCTGTTTTTAGTTTGTGTTAAAAACCCTGACCGTAGTTTGTAAACTCAAATAACTAACCTTAACCTTTTTGCATTATGACTGATATCAGTTGGTGACGAAAACCTATGGGGTGATGACGCTACTCACAACAATGACCCAATCCCTAATACGTATCCATGTATGTAAACTTACTCCCTTTTTCTTAACTACAAGGAATAATTTGAATTTTGACGGTTAATTATTGCGATGAAAGCTGTTATTTCATTATTTCGCACTGTTGATTGTTTTAGGACTGGAAAGCGTTTCCTAATTGGCTGATAGTTCACCGAATTTATACGTCTTTACTCTATAGCTTTAAAAATCGTATCTTTTCTGGACATTAAAATATTGGTAGGCCATCAAAACTTCTTAGATAGGATCTACATAATGCAACTATACAAATTTACTGAATCATTAGTTCTAAACTGATTGTGACTCTTCCATGTTCTGACGTGTTCTTAATCACATGCCGATATAGATGATTGAATAAATACACTGTCTGTATTTATTAAATAGTTTGACAATATCGTTAAGGTCTATGTATAATTTAATAAAAGGAACATGTTTTGACAAAATTATTATCGTATTTTGACAATTAATCTAATTAAAACTTTCAATCACTTATAATTTGTACATTCATTGCATAGATTATCAGATAAATCTCTTGTATTCTTAATGAAAATGTTATTTGATTCACTTGATAAAAACCGCTTAGTTTGTTTCTCATCAAGTATCACTGTTTTCATGTGATGAATACATTGATATATATCTGTGTAAACATTTATGGAAAAAAACACATCTGATCGTAAACTGTATGTATCGTTATTTTGTATACACACCTTCACTATATATTGGCACAAAATAGTGGTATGGATACTTGTTATATCCTGCAGAGAATATAATTGGTTATTTCTCCCTGTACAAATGAATAAGAACGGATACGAGTCGATGAAAAGGAAGAAGGCAAGACCACAGATGAAAATTTTATTATGCACCTACCACGAATTCAAAAACTATTTTAATACAACAATTTATATCAGATTTATCTATTTGGTCACTTGGCAAATATAAATATATTTAACTAGGTAGACGTTGATATAAATTAATCAGTGACTAAATCCATGCACACAGTTTACAATTTCAATAGACTTGATTGGATTAATTAACAATACAATGAATTACTGAGTTACATATTTTCTGTTAGTAGTATTAGTATTTTTGTAAAAACGGTTACATATTCGAGTTTCCGGTTGCCTCACGGTAAAATGTATTTACGAAAAACTGAGAATCTGCTTATACAATCCAGAGAATGGGAAACCGAATAGAGTGTCTGATTATCGCCATGCGAATGATTTCTCACATTTGACACCAACACCATGTATTTAATCTTAAAGTTCTGAATCTAAAAGAAAAGCAATCAGGTGGTTAGTCTTCTGCGTGATTCCGTGATATGAAAGATACCTGTATGGGACTAATATCTATCGGTTACGATTCTTTGGTTAGAGTCCTAAAGCACATACAATTCAGCCTATTACTGTCCTATGATTTCTGAAATTAACTTGTTGTCTAAGTAATATAACATTTTTTGCAAACTGTTTACACGTGTGCTATTTTTTTCTTTCTTTTAAATCCCGAAATAAAATAACAAATATTTACTTAAATATAGTGAGCAGTCGCAAAGAAAAGGACTTGTGGTACTGTACGATATGCGTGATACAAAATATTCCAATTTCGATTACCATCTTTGCATCAAATTGTTGAATTTATTCAAAGTAAGTTTTGTTTTTGGTGGCTTATCTATTTAATTTCATGGTAATCTTCATCGTAAAATGTCGTCACCTAATGTAGAGTGCTACTGTAATTCAAGGTAGCACTACTCGATGGAGGTTTGATTCTTATATACCCAGTGACACACCAACTAGAGATCGAATATGGGTTGTGTCATCAATTCTCACATGAGACGAATAAAAGTCACCTGTACACTTATCGACTGAGTTGAATCGATTATTGAAGAGCTGTTTACAGTTTTTTATAATTACTGTCAGACAATTAGACAAAGTATTATTGGTGATTTCAGTATCAATTGTCACATGCCTTGCCATACGCACACACACACACTGTTTACTTTCCGATTGATTCAATGTGATTTAGAAAAAAATCTCACAGAAGATGATAGTTCGTTTAGATAAAACTCATTAGTTGTTTGTATTTGTGAATTTAGCGAAATTAAAATCTGAATTGTTATGATTGAATGTTCATTGTTTGATTCAATGTGAACTACAGCTTTGCAGAGAGTAAAGGCTTATTTCTGCACCATAGGTTTTCCTCTAGGCTCACTCTTAAACAAATATGTATCATTATAATCCTCATTTTTAGAAGGAACACTAGTTATAGAGATTATTATTATTACTCGTAGGTTCAATGTCAAGTCATTGTGTTTTCTCAACAAATGTCAAATATTCCCTTTATATTCTAAAGATTACAGATTGGATGCCAGTAGCGATGGAATAAATGCAAAACTTATTAATGGTTGGTGACTTATTGTTGTCGAGGTTCAGGACTGCAATCAGTCAGTTTCTGTTGCCACACGTACATCCTGAACGAATTGCCTTTTGTCACAAGTTTTAATATATTTAAATTTTAGTTGTCAATGCAAACCAGTATGTGCGTTCCGTCCCACCTTAGACTCGTCAATGTACTTCGATTTAATTATTTTTTCATGGCTGTGCGCTAATATATTTATGTATGATTTACAACAATGAAATAATACTCATCGGCTAGTTATTTTATGTAATAATTATATAATGACATATTGATTATAAAATAACATTGAGCAACCGGAAGAAAGAGGATTATAATAATCAAAGTTATTATTCGGAAATGAAACAGTTGCTACGTTGCATAATATATAAAAAGAAGGAACTAACAAAATATTTTGATGAAAGGTCAGTATTATAGTAGTTATGTAAGACATCAAGGGATGAATGTTGAGAATAGGTAAAATACAAAGGTGGAAGGAATTAGAAAATAGTCTAAATATTGCTGAAGGAGATTTCATCAAAGTTCTGCTACCAACCCACTCCTATACCGGTAGACAAGGTAGCGAGAGTGGTTGCACAAACATCTTTCGGATGCAAAGGTTTAGTTTGTGAGCATGGATTCCAATGGCTTCAGAAATGTGCAAAAGACGAACTCGTAAACCATGTGGTAAATTTGATGGAATATGATGGATAACCTTAAAAGCTTTATTCAATCCAACTTGATGACCTATGTCCACCAAGTGAGCGAGAATAGAACTCTTAATCACTCCTACCTGTCCTTTGCTCAACCAAGACGGATGGTGTTCTGTTATGAAATGACGGACTTGCCGAATTGTACGCCCTATAAAATTGGCTCCACAGGAGTAGTTGAATTGGTAAACACATATGGATGTAGCGAATTCAGGCAATGTCCTTACTATGGGACGGTTGTAAAAGACGTCACTCAGTACGGCTGCATTAAATGTTTTCTGTACCGCTTTTTTAACCATTGAGTCACAATTTCCTCGGTAGCATCATTTGGGAATTGTAATTTTAAGAGCTCTCTCTCTCTCGAAATGCTCTCACACGGCCACGCGTATATAGCCTCTGCCAGGGAACTCCTATTCATTGCCTTCTCGTGGCGGGGATGTTGTTTACCAAATTGAGAGGACGAAAAGAGAATTTCCAGCGCTCTAACCGGGTTAGTGAACATGGAGAGTCCACCTAGGGGAGTTGGAAAACCCTGATTCCAAACCAATGGTGCACATGGGCTCCAGGATCCTGAAGGAACAAATGGTGTATGAACCAATCGTTGGTCACCGGCTACTATGGGACTGCATCTCCTTACGTTTCTTCGCTGCCTTATGGATCAGACCTTCAGGTCGAAGGCGCCGGCTGTGGTCCCCTAAGAAAAACCACCTGCTTCGTTCTGGGCATCCGGGCAGTATTCCAGCTCTCACACAAGTCGAATGATTTATGTGTCTCATTTCTATCTGGTGCCTTATTGTACCAATATCTATGTGTTTGATAAATAAAGATATAGTGCACTCACACATTAAAAAAAAATTATCATATCGTTTCGTTTTACCACAAATAAAGGTGTTTAGTTAATATATCAGTTGAAAAAAGCCTAACTAACTTGAATTATAACTGATTGGCTGATGTAGCAGTGTGCGATAGTTTAGTTGCAATCATTCAATAATTCATAGTGTCACAGTTGCTATTAATACTTATTTACACTTTTTGGTATGGTATAAACACAAGTAATATTACAGTCACAATGAAAAACCTTTGACTTTGGAACTACACTAGTTTTGGGAACAGATACCTATTACGATTTTAAAACTTGCTTAATAAGATTCGATCATCATTCGGAATTAGACAAATACGAGAATGTTTTCTATTCAGCAGTCAATCAGTACAAGTATCTCAGTCACTCTAATAAAATGATCATTTATTATCCTAATAGTTCATTAGTAACATTTTTCACATTGGTGATGTTAGGTCAAATACAACAGGGAACACCAGGACCCTGAAAATTGTAGATATACACCTTGTTATGGACTGCTAACTATCATGAAGCTCAAGTTTGATTTCTCTTGCCGATCGCTTCCGAACATATATCATGTTTAATTTAAACGGTCTTTGTATTTCGTGCAAATCAACTCTCAGTTAGTCTTCTCGTTATTTGTCTTTATGTCTCATGTAGCCTCTTGATTATAGATACTCAGGATTGCAGCCTTAGACCTGTAAGTTGAAAGCTGATAAGTGATACTCATAATCCGTTGCTCTGAAACTAATTCAGTTAGGATTTATCAGCTTGTCGATGCCACTAATGAACTTTCGATCAAAATGTTCCTTTTTATTCACGTTTATATGTCGATTTTTTATCCCTTGTATGATTTATCTCTTGTGTTATGTGCTTAGAGGCAACCGGTAGAAAACCGATCCTTTGAACATAGTGTAATCTGCAATCTTAAGAGCACTTATACTCTTTGTGAGATTCTAATACTACGCATACTCAACTATTACCTATGTCGACGCTCGATGTTTTATGGTATATTAGTAGATCTAAAAAAGGCTATAGACGGCCAAAACAAGACTTACTATCAATCCATAAAGTCATTGACTATAGTACTTGGCCCTGTTGCTATCTCTAAAATACCTGTGATTGAAGTCTATGGGATTATCGTAAACCATGGTTTGAGATTTTTGATGAAGTAGGTCCGAATCAGTTCGAATATAGCACGTGCCTTCACTCTTAATCTCCCCATAGTTCAAGAGTTTGTAAATCATATCCTGTACGCTTAACCTTCATTTTTCCTACTACTTTGATATTCATCTTTATAGTTTCATTTCGATTTACTGATTTTATGTGGCAACCAACTTAGACTGGTAGACATAAGCAAAATTTAAAATCTAGTACATATGCCTGTGCATTGCTTTTTTGTGTTTGAAGTTGGACTTACCTATTAAGTATAAATATTAGCTACAGAACGTTTTTCTCTCTGATATACATTTTTCATTTGTTTTTTTGTCCATGTATGTGCAATGTTTATGTCACTCTTATCCTCTACATAGGGTGTTTATCCAGCTCGTCTACGTAAAGTGATTATCATTGAACCACCATTTTGGTTTCGAGCTCCATTCAATGTACTGCGATTATTTGTTCGTGAAAAAATGCGAGATCGGGTAAGTTTTTAATTGGATTCTATTTAAATAGTCAACGATTATCATTTTTAGTATGGGGATTTGTGATGATTGTAGTATCTTAACAGTTGCATTCACGAGTTGATATAAGCTAGACCACCATTGACAACCTGGAAGCACTGGATGGCCATTTCGTCCCTGTACGGGACTCCTCAGCAGTGCTCATCCACGATACTGCATATATATATATATATATATATATATATATATATATATAAGAGTAGAGGATATTCGTAGGTTACTAGTATTTGATCATAGGTGTCTTCGAAACATTGCTCGTATATCATGGGACCATCGAGTAAGTAACGCAGTTGTTAGGAAACGGGTACTAGGTAAGGATGGCAAATCGACTGATGAAGTGGTGAAACCTCGTCAGTTGAGATGGCTGGGACATGTGTTACGTATGCCCAACGACCGACCGCCTCGACGTGAGATGTTCAGTGGTATAGGAGTAGGTTAGAAGAAAGCTAGGGGCGACCAGACCAAAACATGACACAAGTCCATGAAGTCACTGACAAAAGGACTGAGTCATGTTGGCAGGTGTAGACTACCTAGTTGGGGACCGCGAGATGATAGCAACCGATGGTTAGAGACCCTGAATGACATGGCTCAAAATTGTTTGCAATGGTGCAGGTGCATACACTCTTTGTGTTCTCCCAAATTTTAATCTCCTGATTCTTCCTTTTCTGTTTTTTCTCTTCCCAAATTTATTTCACTGTATTATGCTCTTTAAATAACATCTCCAAACCCCAATCTTCCCGATTACTACTTATACTCTTACTACCTCTACCACTATGGGATTTGAATCGACCACTGCATCTCTGCGCTAATGTGGTGTGGCAACTCGAACTGATGTACGTACGTACCTTCGTACGTTGTTACTGACTGATGTATATATATATATATATATATATATATATATATATATATATACGATTTGATAAGAACTATTTTGCAGGTGGAATTACCAGTGTAAAAATGTCTTAAAGTGTAAGAGGATTTGTTGAAATATTCCATGTTTCCTACTCAAAATTCATCACTGTAACGATAAATGTAATATGAATTTGAATAATAATAATAATAATAATAATAATAATAATAGTATTATTTTTATACTTCTTCTTCTTCTTCTTCTTCTTCTTCTTCTTATTATTATTATTATTATTATTATTATTATTATTATTATTATTATTGAATAACACTAGCACATGATCCTATACTCAATTATTATCCACAGTTTTGCGTGTGTGTGTGTTTGACAAAGAGATACATGGAAAGGGCTAGTGAATGATATAGCCTAATAATTGCCAAAACTGAAGTGAATAGAAGAGAATTTTTATTGGAAGTTTTTATTGACTGTAAGGTAAAAAATATTTTTAAACCATTCATTAGACCTACACAGTTGTAATGAGTTTTAAATTATATCACATTTAAGAATTATGTAACTACTGATTTTTACTTTCTCTTATCAGATGTTTAATACCAGCGTGTTTTAATCTTTACTTTATTGCATGATTTTAACACAATAACAAAATTCCGTGTAGTTATCACAAACTCCTGTATTGATATTATTTTATGAAACCGTTTTGAGTTTATTCACAGTTGTATATATTAATAGATTAGACATATTCCAATTTTTCTAATTGAATTGATAAATTACATACTCAAGCTAACTCGATACTCCATTTTGTTGTTGTTTTATCAAGCATTTGTACGGGATAATTGTGTGATTGACACTTGAACAGACTTAATGTGATTTGAAATCCCTCAACAATCGGTAAACCTGTTAAAGTAGACTTAATCTATTCAGAGATGAGAATAAACCCTGGACAAGTAAGTAATATGATCAAACGGAAAGGTAATCAGTAGAAAATTCCAACTAATCAATGGTATGCTTGTTGACAACCGCAAATTGAATTCAACATTCAGCTAATAAGCTGTCCATAACTTATGGAGAGATTATAATTGTTTTTATTCTTCTCTTTGTTCTGGCGATAATGTCGAGACAGGCAGTTAGTCAGTCATAAGGGACATAGAAATTGATATTCTTGTGCTTCGATCAAAGTTACCTGCCACAAAACATTAACACAGTGATACGAAGTTATTACAATGAATACCGAAAAAGTAGAAGAATTAGTATAAGTATAACCCTGCGAACTACAACCACCTAATCCATAACTACTAACAAATCTCAGCGCAACACTGGATAATTTCTTAGATTAATGCCATGCCATGTTTTAAACGCTTTTTGCTTACTTCCAATCTATTTCTCCAGCAGTCAATATCACGCATCGATATAGACAATTGTCGGGCATACGTAAAACATGTCTACCACTTCAGTCGATGAATATTCATAGCCTCATCAACTGATTTATCATCTTCTCTTTGTACTCTATGCTTAACCTCATTATTACTTGGTCGTTTCACGACGTGCGAGCATTTCTTCGAAGATACAATCAAAAATTTCCAATCAACACATATTCCATTTTATAAACAATGTTTCATAGCGTTAATGTAAAACTTGGTATTTAAAACCAAAATATATTCGTAGGTTATCACTGGTAGTTGATCATAGATGTCTTCGAAGCATCGTTCGCGTATTTTGGTACCACTAATTGAGTTATTCTGAGGCTAGTCTCTGGGCACCAAACAAAGGCAATGAGTTGTTAATGGTGTGAATGTGTATCGAATGATACGGTTTCAAGAATAAAATACCATGAATCTTTTTACTGTTAAACCAACTATTGAACTCACGAGGAATATATATCTCACCACCAACGACAACATGAGGAAATCATTCTCCTATGCTATAAATCCCTTTGCCAACACTACCATTAACTCTACTATGCATTGCTACTAGCAACCTTGTAAGATAAGTTGTTGTAGTTCTTATCATAAGCGGTTTGTAAAATAACGATATATACACACCTTTCAATCCATATATATATATATATATATATATATATATATATATATATATATATAATAGACATTCTTGCGTTTGCCATAAGCAAATTTTTTCATGGCTTTCTTTCCACTCATTTCTTTCTTAAAGTCAAACAGAAAATGTTGTTTAAGTCTTGATTTAAGTAAAGCAGTTTCACTGGGAAAAAATCATTCGTTTCTCTATATGTTTTGTCTCTAATGTTGTTGTTCCCCTGTATATCCTAGAAACAGATTTAGTATTAATTAATTAATTAATTTATTATTATTATGTGCATAATACACTGACAAATTAATTATTCAATTGACTTAGTTATTTAGTTATTAGACTCTTATCCCTTCGACGCGTAATGATTTCATGCGTGGGTGGAAATACACGGAATAGAAAATTATTTATCATATGCATGTGTCTGTCTATCTCCTCTCTATTGCTTTTATTACCTTAAACACCTGTAGTTTATGTATGAAAATGAGTAGTAGGAGGGATAAGAGTTTAATGTCTTACTTGATGATATTCCCATGTACAAAAACTATTTACATTTGTTTATTTGAATGAATGTTGGTTGATTGTATGATTCTGTTTAGTAACTGGATAGTAAGTAAGCGAACATGCGCATATACATTGAATAAATCCTTCTTTCTTTTTTTCATTTTTCATATGTTCTGGTTTTAATCTGTGTGTTTGAATGTACACATTTTTGTCCATATGATGTTTTTTAGGCTGATGGATACATTTTGGCTGCATTTTATTTTTTCAAATCACAATATCATATAAATTTAACATATTTATCATTTTGTGATGGGATAACTAATTATTTATCAATATTCGATGGATGTTTTAGTGTTAAGCATGTTCGTTCGTGTAGTATACACTTTCATGTACGCTCATGTGTACGTGCGTGTTCTATTAAATGTGTTCCATATCTTAGATGAATTAAGTGGCATTCTAGGAAAAATGTGTATCGGTGAGAAATTTTTTGCATGTGTTCAGCTAAATGAAAACACGACAACCTCCATAAATCCCCTAAATTGATAAATGATAAAACACTACAGACGCATGTAAACATACAGACGTTATGATCATATTGGCAGTTAAATATTTCAATGGTTAAGATCATGAGTCCGTTGAAGCTAGACCACCATGGAAAACCTGGGAGCACTAGACGGTCGTTTCGTCCTTTTGTGGGACTCCCCAACAGTACGCATCCACGACCTCGCCCCCCTGCGAGATTCGGGACCAGGACCTACTGGTTTCGCGCGCAAGCACTTTACCACTAGATCACTTAAATATTTCACTAATAAGATGATTAACTACATTCAGTGATCACAGACTAGTAACCAATGTCGAATTTTGTCAAGGCCTCAGTGCTGATAGAATTTCATCAATCAAGTTACAGTGGCTGCTAGTTTATAGATGACTTGACATCATATACACTATGACAATCTCGACATTAGTATGCTTGCCCTTAATATTCTCTACTTATCTTCAGAATCAGAACCCACAGTGTGTTTTGTTGGAATGCATATGATGTGTTCTCTAGCTCTTTTCTATCGATATCAGGCAATATCACATGACGTTGAAGTAATCAATTCTTCATTTTAATTCTGTTCAGCCACACTTTCTACGCGCAATCAAATAGATTAGAGATTAAAATCCCTATTCCGTCTACTTTGGCTTAGGCATTTGGGGATGTAGTTTCATACACCTTCACATACAAGCAGTGTGTCAAAACGTATTAGTCAATGCATTCTAGATGAATTGGTATTTATGCTTATATTTATATGTTAAGTCATGTTACATAAATTCTTGGACTAAAGTAGATATTTACGGAATTCGAATCAATAGCCGAAACCAAATTCCTTAACAATTAGGTTTTTGATTTTACATTATGACCAGAAATAACCCAACAAATATCATTCAGTTAATAAATAAGTTGCTCTTTAGAAATAATAAAATACGTAGACTAGAAAATAGATTTATTTCATTTTAAACATCGCCCCACTCACTTTTTGCTCCGAAAAATTGCATTGTTCATAATTTTAAAGAAAAAACGGACTACTTATGTAATATTCTATGTTAGCGTTGTAATGGAAAAGTAGAATAAGTTTTTGCTTGGTGTTCTTGATCCTATATTTCACAGTATATAATATAATTTAATACTGGATCACCTAATGATAGACAGTTAGATCAGTAGATAGATCAAGGTATTAGATCACATGACTCAGTGATAAAATTATCCGATTATTGAGCAGAAATTAAGCTAGAATGATAATGTACTTATACAAGGTATAAGGCCAGTCAGTACACATTGAAGTCAGTATAGGGTCGGTTTTACGCCTAAAGTAGTCTCCTATTTCTAACACAGCTGTATATGTTTATCTTCGCTCATTGCCCAATTACATGTTTTTTTCATCTGATGCATCGGTTTGTTTGCTAAGAGTCCGGGCAACGAGAATGAACAAGTATATTTCTGGCATCATTTTAAAGCACAAAAAACGTAACAGAGTGGTAGTGATGATGATGGAGTTAGAGAAAATGCGTAATAAATAAATATCACACCTGCGTGTTCATTATAACGTTGAATTGAGTAAATGCATGAAACTGGGATTCTACAAAATAACCAAACATAACATTAGTATGTGCATTTATACTACGATGGCTGACTTCCAAAACAATCAAACTAATAAGTCTTGAGATCTGGGTCCTTTTGGGCCTACGATTATGGTTCTCCTATACTACCATCGGGAGCTAATGCAAACTCGGTATTACTGATCACTGATACTCAAAGCGCTTCCATACTTAACCCCAACGAGATGAAACCCAAATAGAAAACATAAATGTAAAAAAAGCTTGATATTCAACATAGTTAATTCTATTATTTCCCAAGATCATCACATATTACTATATATATATATATATATATATATATATATATATATATAGTAATATGTGATGATCTTGGGAAATAACAGAATTAACAAACTTAGCTTAGTGATAGCCAAACAGAAAACAGCAAAGGCCATTGCAGAAATAACTGTTATTGGGGCTTCCACTAAATATAAACAACTGTCTTATTCAAGACATGATATGTAATTTCTTTACACAAATTCCAAAAAAGAATTCACCTAATATAGTCACTAATGTGTACATAACTGCTATGACATTAAAGAGGAAGAATATATTTGTAAAATCTCAGCAAATGAATTTTGAGATTTTACAAATACATTCTTCCTCTTTAATGTCTCACATCAACTCGGCACCCAAATACTGTGAAACTATTCGATTAAATTTAGACGAAAGTTCTTATTTATATCTACTATGAGATACAACTCACTTTTTCAGAACAGGATTTGCACGCATACTTTGAAGTAACTAACAATCTAAATGGAGGAGTAAACAATTGTTTGTGTTGTTAGAGTTCAGTCATCAAGATCATACCTACCCGACTGAATACAGGTCTTGCTAATGTTCATCAGTTTTACAAATACAACACAATTTTTTGATCTATTTAAAAAAATATCACATTCACCATCATTAAAGAAGTTTGAATAGACGGAGATATACTCCTTTCAATTCATACATACATATATATACCATAGTGTGATATAAACATGGCATTTATGTTTTGCTTGTGATAACTAACTTAAATAATAGTGATATTTGTTGAAGATCACATTCAATGTGTTTCAAAAAAGAAATCAATAGTTTTTATAACAACTGTCTTCTACCTCTAAACCGACATATATATAATCATAAAGAGGCTACATATACAATTAGAACTGCGTGTTTTACTTGCCATAATTTACAAGCATATTATTTAAGTAAGCTTAATTAAAAATATACAATTTGAATTTAGAAAACAAAACAAAATAAAGCTAAATATAGTAATTTGTCTATTGACACTGACTTTAATTTATTACAATGAATTTATTCAATGACTGGTATGTACTGTAATTTAGATTTACTCAATAAAGCTTCTTAAATCTTTTAACAATCTCCTAAACAATCTGATAATATGAATTTGGATGTAGTATATTGATTTTATTTGTTGAGTTAATTAATTAACTTATACATACTTACTTACTTACGCCTGTTACTCCTAATGGAGCATAGGCCGCCGACCAGCATTCTCCAACCCACCCTGTCCTGGGCCTTCTTTTCTAATTCCATCCAATTCTTGTTCATTTTTTTCATGTCTATTTCCATTTCCCGGCGTAATGTGTTCTTTGGTCTTCCTCTTTTCCTTTGGCCTTGAGGATTCCATGTGAGGGCTTGCCTTGTGACGCAGTTGGGTGTATTTTATACATAGATATATTTATTTCTATGCCTTCATTCTCATACTTTTTTAATTGTTGTACCAATAAAAGGAATGATTTTTTGTTTAATTTCAAAGTTAATTTTACTTTTTTCTTCATCTCAAATCGACAATGTTACAATTTAAAAATCAATGAAAATTAAAGAAGATAGTAGTAACTTCCAATTGTCTTGTTATTGTTAAAAAGTTCTAAAGTATTCTTTAGGAAAAACTATAGGAACTCAGCAAACACGGCGAAACATTTTATCCAGTCAACGTTGAATAGAAGCTTTTTAGGGATATCTAGAAATTAAAGTTACATGTTACGTTTCTGATTGGGTAATTACCTATCCTATTACTATATTTAGTCCAGTTCCAGAAACTTCCGGAAGCCCGAGGTCGTATGTAACTCAGTAAATACCCTCGTTTTTTTCTGTACATAAACTAAACTTAAACTAAAGAGTTCTTTTCGCACATCGCTCCTTTCCTTTTGTGTTATTAAAAGCGACTAGGAAGACGGACCAAGCATTTATTTAGAAGACTTTTCAGTTATAATCTGAGGAGATAATACAAACAGTATACACCACGACTCTAGAACTTGTGACTGTAGGTGTTTTCTTGTGTACAATAGGTCATCTATTTCATTTAAGGTGAGAAAAATCAACAACAAAATATGAGGTAGTCTAATCAGCTTTCTTTACATTTCTATACTTCATCTTATATCTTACCTAAATTTCGAAGATTTGTTCTAGAAGAAAAGAAAGTTGTTTGAAGTGCTTTTGCCCATACTATCAAGTCCCTTCAGTTCGTTATACATTTACATATTTTGTTAATTTAATGGTGGATCCTAGTAGCTAGAAAATAGTTGGTTATCAATCAAGGGTATGCCACTTGCTTAAATCCTGTTTGATGTGCCTTGGTTTGACCTTAATTTCACATGCCTTTAAATGTTCTGAAAAATAATTTCAAGTTCATTTTATATTTACCTACTTCTTACTGCTAATTATCAGTTTACAGGTGCCTTATAGAATCACATAATTTCCAAATGTTCAACTTCTCCCTTTTCCGCCCCCGCCTAATATGGGTTCGTGTCGAAGACTTATCCCAAGTGTTTGTACATCACTTCATTTAGTTCGGTTTAGGTATCCGGGATTCACACTTCACATACTATACACAAATTACGCTTTAAGCCTACTCTTGTTAATTAATTGATTTTGATAGTTAAATTTATGAATCGATCTAAGATGGACCACCACTGAAAACCTGTAAGCACTAGACGGACGTTTCGTCATAGTTTGGGACTCCTCAGCATTGTGCATCCATGACATCGCACCTGAGACTCAAATACAAAACTTCCGGTCTTGTGCACTAACGCTTAACCTCCATACCACTGAGCTGGCATCAAACTGTGTTAATGTCTAACTTCAATCGATCCATAACTGTCTCCATCCGACACGGATTGAACCCTACTGGTCACGGTGTAGTGAACAAGAACACGGGTGGGGACAATCGACTGTATTTGGCACAAAAATTACAGACTATCTCAATATAATGTGAATACCATAAAGTCAATCGTCAATTTGCAAAATATCATTCCATCATATCAAACTGTACTGTTCCCGTTGCAAACACTAATCCATTGTCTCCCATTCCATTGTACATGCGTTTTCTTACAATTGCATTGTGTTCTTGCTCTTCCTTTCTTGATCTTCGCCATCTTCTGCTGCCGGACATTACGTTCTTTTAACGCACGTTATATACTACTTATATCAATATAAGTAGCTCACACCACAACGGTTTCTAACTAGAGCTCCAGGAGGTCCTGGATTCGTGTCCCTTCGGTGCAGCATTGTTGATGCGCATTGCTGAGGAGTCCCATACTAGAACGAAACGGCCATCCAGTGCTTCTACTTTTCCAGTGGTGGTCTAGCTTAGATCGACTCATGAATTCAACTATTAAAATTACTACAATCTTCACGATTCCATATTTCTGATAACTAATTAATTCTTTAATTGACTAGCTAATGAATTAAATATATTCATCTAATCCAATTTTATTGATTTGATTTTAATTTTTAGATATACTCTGTTGGTTATGATGAATTAAATGTACATTTGCCGAATTCCACATTGAAACGTTTATTTGGTCAATTAACATTAAACCAACATTTTGATTGGCTATTAAATTGTTTTAAACGTACTGGTCATTTTTCACGTATGCCAACTGATTATTTTAAATTGTCACAATTATCATCATTAAGACCATCTGATTCAATTTATTCAGCATTACATAATCCTTTATTAGGCAATGAATTGATTGTTCAACTTGATTTATACAATAATAATTATAATCATGAAAATGTCGATGATAATACTGACAAAATAATTACTACTAATACTATTACTAATGGTAGTATTAATAGTAAGGATATTTCTCTGTCTTCTATTCATGGATCATTACGTGTTCCTATGAAAAATCGACGATGTTCAGATGATTTTTTGCATACAACTATCATAACATCTTCGTCATCATCAGCTATAACGACAATATCCAGATCATCATTATCTTCCATGGTTCATGGATCAACACAACCACAATATTATAACACAATAAATGGAAGTATTTCACCATTATCACGACTAATAGGAGATGCTGTTGGTTTACAAACATCACCATTACCACGTCGTGGAGTATTAACTAATAATCGTATGACTGATTCAATGTTTGAAACATCTATTAGTCATAATAATAAAGATTGTACATCATTATCAACATCATCTATGTTTCATAATGATCGACGTGTATTCTATCGATCTGACCGTCATCTTTCTCATTCCAACTCATTTAGACACAGAACTAATACAATAACAACATTAGCTAATAATATCAGTAGTATTAGTAATGGTTCAATATATTCCACTCATTCACCTTCATCTAAAGATCAATTATATGTTACAAATCCTTTATCGGAAACACGTTTGTCTGTATCAGAATTTATCACTAGAGTGCAAAGTGTTGGTTCTATTGGATTAACTTTAGAATTTGATGCATTATTTAAAGATAGTCCTGTGAAAGGTGCTTGTACGCGTTTTGCGTAAGTTGTTTACAATTGTTTATTGTTTGAAAGAAAAATCACTTATTCATTGATATCTCAATAGCACAATAAAAAGGATTTATCTTTGTTATAGATTTCTGAAGAAGTAGTAATAATAATTGTTGTAGTATTAATGGCAAGACTTTACTATACCAATGGACTTCAGCAAATTTATGGGTTGCCTTGCGATTAGCCAGTCAGTGATAACCAATACGAATGCAGCTTTCATTTAAGAGCTCTAAAATGTAAAAACCATAGAAATGCAGAGGATCAAAAGTCTTAAAAACATTAACGAACTTGGTAATGCTAAGTATCAATAATTCAGGCTGAAATCAGGATGGACCCTGATTCTTAGCTCTGCATCTTTTAAGACTTAACTCCTGACTTTGAAACCCCTAAACCCCGGCTCCTAACTCTAGAATTCGACCATACCTCCGTACCTTAAAACGTCCTAACCCTAACTCCTAACTATTAAACCTCTAGACTTTGGCTCCTAACCATACTACTTCTTAACACTGCTCATCAACACTAATACTTCTAACCATAACCCTGGTTTTTAACCCTAAAACTTCTTAACGGTAGATCCTAACCCTAAAACTCGTAACCTTAACACTCCTAATCCAAACAAACTGACCTTAACAGATCATTCCACAAGGAAAATATCATCCAATCCTTTCAAAATACGAGATATGGTGAGAATCATGAGCTTTAGTAACAAGCTATTTGGAATAGTGCTTTAAATTTGCTCTTCATTCTTATTTTGATTGATCGCTTAGGGCCTTTGGTCTTACAGTACTACTTATGTGCTTTTTCTTTTCATCAAGTTGCCTCACATTCTCCTTAGTCACTAGTTGGAGCTATGCATGATTTAGTTGAAATATTTGAATTTCAACCAGGAACATTTTTTAGTTTGACATTTCTCAGTCTGTATACACTAATTTACATGGTGTCGAACCCAAGACTTTCACTTTCAAGTTTTATCACCGTAGTATCGTATGTTTTTCTCTTGATTGTATATGTTAGTTCAAGAGAAACAGTTCAATTCACCAACGCTTCTGTTTCTTTTTGTTCTTTTTTATCTGTCTTTCAGATGATTATTTACATCAGAAATTAACGTTAGATATATAGTGAATCAAGGTGATACAAAATACTTATTCCATTAGGGTAATTTACACATTTTTCGCTCGTCATGTGACCTAAAGGTTTTGATGATCTGAATGGAACCAAATGAGAAAAACAAATTTGTACTAATTATATATGTCAAAGAAAAAACTTTGAAACACTTCCAATGCGATCAGTTATGTATAATTTTAGAAGTAATTCCCAATAAAAAAATTCTCAGGCTTAATGTTAAGTCACGTGTATGTCAAATTGTAAACAGATCATTATGTGAATGTTAGCAATTAGTTAGATCATTCTGTATAAAAGAGTTAGTTTAAACTAATGAAGTGTTGAACAAATTATTGATGAATAGAGAAATACTTCATTAACATAATATTACAATAAACACTAATTGATCGTACATATTTGTATTTATGCCAGAAATTTAATTGTGTAATTTTTAAGTAATGTTCTGCATTTTTCCACAATTTGTTTCGCATTTTAAATTTGAATGTGGCAAAAATAAGAATGGTAATAGGATAATTCATGAGTTCCCGCTAGTTGTTCACAACGTTACTTACGTACTTCCTTACGCATGTGGTAATATCCACACTGTCAAACACCTCATAATCAATGAAGTTTATGTATAATGACTAATTTCATTCGATTGATTGCTCAACAATGATCCGTGGTGTCACGAATCGGTCTGTGTACGACCGATCCTTACAAAATCCAGCCTGTTGATATCGAAACCGGACATCCACTGGATCTTTCATCCGGTTCAACAACACTATTGAAAACTTTTCATAGCATCGATAATCATGTGACGCTTCTGTAGTTCTCACATTTGCTCAGGTCTACTTTTTTGGAATTTTGATGACATATGCTTTTTTTCAGTCTGTCTGTGGCACTTGTTCCTCTTCCCAAATCCTTCCTGAATAGAACGTGGAGCATGTTTGCAGTTGCTTGTATTTCTGACTTCAGTGCTTCAGATGATATGTTGTCATGTCCTGCTGCTTTTCCACTGTTGATTTTTCTGATGGCCATCCTGATTTCTTCGATCGTTAGTGGGATGACATAGAAAAATATTATTCAATCATTTAAAAAAACATATACATACCTTTAAACCAGAAAGTGTAACGCAACAATTTTTTGAAACTGAAGTTATCAAGACAAAATTAAATGGATAACTGCGTTTTTTGTTTGCATATATAAGTTCAACTTAAGTAGTTTTATCGCTACAACTTCAATAGAGCGTAATTAATGCGAGGTCATTTTGTTTATTGATCAGTTTGAATAATTGAGAAACTTAAACATGAGATGTTCACATTTCAAACAAATAGTGAACAATCGCATTATTTATTTATAATCGCATTACTGGAAATATTCTAATTTTCTAGCTCTAAATGTCGTGGAATGTGCTCAGAAATGCAGATACTTAACTGTTTTTTGTATTGTTCCAATGTATTTCCTTTGGTCAGTTTATGTAAACTGGCAAACACAGTTAAAGATAACATACAACAGTAATTTGTTCACATTTGATTGTCGTAATATTTTACAGTCAATAGTGAATATGTACAATTTGAACCAGATATAAGGGAAAAAAGAAAAGTATTAACAAAAGATAATTAATGCACCATACATTTTTAATCTATTCACTCCTATCTATTTGATCTTTGCAGTACATACTGCTGATGGATTTGAAACCAGACTACTTCATTCTTGCCCTGGTACGGTCAAGGGTAAGGAGAGCCCACTCTTCCTGTCGAAATGCTCTCACATGACCACGTGTATACAACCACTGCCAGGGAAGTCCTACTCACTGTCTTCTCTCAACAGCTGTGTTATTTACGAAATCGAGAGGACGATAAGCGAATGTCTGGCACTCTAACTGGGTTGATGTACACAGATGATCTACCTAGAGGATTTGGAAAACCCTGATTCCGAACCAATGGTGCAAATAGGCTCCACTATCCTGAGGGAACAAATGGCTAATGAATCTACTGTTGGTCACCGGCCACCATGGGACTGCATCTCTTGACGTTACTCCACTGCCTTGTGAATAAGACCTCCAGATCAAAGGCTTGTTGTATGACTCCCCAAGAAAACCACCTTCATTTTGGGCATCCGGACAGTATTCCAACCCTCATACAAATAGAATCATTTGATGCCTTCTTGTACCAATGTTTATGTGTTTAAATAAATAAAGATTCATTTATGTTTAATTTACGATGAAAATTATCTGTAAACTGTTTAAAATTCTTTAAAAAATCACCTTAGTAAATGATACGTCTATCTTGATATATATCTGTATAATGGAGTAGTCACAGTTCAATCCAAAACTTGTTGGTTTCATTCAATTATTTTTTGTTTGTTTTTGGTGTGAAGATTTATTATCTGTAGATGTACTTCCATTCTATTATTGGCATTTACACTAAAATTCATACCATTTACTCCAATAGAGATTGATTACATTCAACCTTATCAACCTTATCACATCATTACAAACAACAATATGTGTTTATTATTGTTTGTTTTCAATCGTATCACTCTACCATTTTATACATTAATCAGTAGTAATAATAGCCGTAATATATTGGTAGTTATCTGAATAATTCCATATTTAACTTAAACATACAAACATATGAGTGAATTGGATAAATATTCTAGAAATAGTTTTTTTAAAAAAAGAAAGCGTTTCACCTTGATAATTTGAATTTAGGCGACATAAAAATACTCGTATATTTTTCTCCTTTATTATTATTATTATTATTATTATTATTATTATTATTATTATTATTATTATTATTATTATTATTATCTAAGCATCACATATCATCATCCATTTGTCCATTTGCTGATATCATCTTACAGTTCATTACATTTTGGTCTCAATTTATTATCAAATATATTTTGTTTATATTCAATCAACCGATAAGATAGTTGGATTAATTATTATTATTACTATTATTATTATTATTATTATTATTATTATTATTATTATTAGTAGTAGTAGTAGTAGTAGTAGTAGTAGTAGTAGTAGTTGTTGTTGTTGTTGTTGTTGTAGCAGTATTAGTAGTACTTGTAATGTTATGTCATATACTATTGACTTATAATACAAGGTGATTAGAAGTGATCAATAGAAAATCATGCACCAAAAAAATCTCCATTCTAATATTGGTACTTATCAACAAAGTCTATCTGTAATACTAAAGGAATTGATGTTTTCTTTGTGATTTTTGAGACTTGTATATCATAGTCAGATAGAGGTTAATTTTGGTCAAATTGATTAATGAAATTCAATCCACATAGTACACTAGACAACGTAATGTTTGTTATTAATAATTAGTGTATAAACCTAAGCATCATTTTATAGAAAAGATTATACACACAACTTATTCATTTTTCATCGATACTTTGATTTGATAATAATGTTGTTTGATTGTATCAAAATATTGAAAGTTAACAATAAAATTATAGGATTTCATATCCATAGTTATCAGATATTGTATGTAATTAGTTTTCATATTCCATGTACTTTCAGAAATCTATCCTTCTTCAAGAAGTTTAATTAGTTAGTCAGCTAGTTATAAATAATCCCAGAATTCATATTGATAAAATGAAATCCGAAGAGGTTGTAATGGAATAATGCTAATGGTTTTTAAAAGAAAAACATAACAAGAAATATTATATACACTCAATCATGCCCTAATTATTGTATTCAGAAAAAGTGAAGAAGCTGAAAAGATTTCTTTTCAGTTAACATTCAGTAGGAATGTCTCAGAGGGTTCTAAAAAGATTTTAGATTCTGCGTCATACTCTGTTTTAATAATTAGTTATATTTACTACTAATTTTAGTAGGCTCCTGGAATATCATTGTCACGTTTAAACCTAGAAATAGCTTTTTAGTTCTGTACTTAAACTACCTATGGTAGTTGGATTTTTTATACATCCTTTCATTTGTCTTCTGTTCGGAACTCAAATGTAGGAGTTATCTGGGTTACTAGGATGTGGTAGTCAAGTGTTTAAGTACCAGACTTATCAGGTGGCGGGAAAAAGTTTATTCCTAGGGAGTAAAGTATAACAAAATGAAAATATATAACAGAACGGTTACATTTACAGTATTTTCTCAAACGTCCATGGTATCATTCAACTTCTATAACTGTCTACATCTCAGTTATCCCTGATCCTTAGCAATATGTAGGATATGGCTAAATTTGTGTAATAAACTCGGTCAATGAAGACTTACAGCCTTTTCAATAAAACCCCTTACATTCAACCCCCCTGTTGTTCTTTAATAATGGTTACATCATATTCAAACAATCCTTTGAAAATATTTATGGTCACGCAATTAGAACATCTCATGTCTTCCACTTGTTTTAGTGAATAAGATGTAGGAGGACTGATCTGTTTCTTTGTAATCAACAGTTTGATCGAACTAACTTCTAAAAATACATATTTTGAAAAAAAAACAGCTGATGTTATAGACAATGTCTTCTAATGGTTAACTTTCATCAACTTAACATCTGTGCTTCATATTCAATGTAAAATTTTCAATTTCTCATCATCCAATAATATGTTTGTTTAAAACAACTGTCACCGTCTAATTGGTTATGAATTAACCCTTTATGACTTGTAATAAAAATATTCTTGCTTAATTAGTAGATGATAAGCACCAATCGATCGATTAATAGTTTGCAGTGATATGATTTGTGGCCAAATGATAGTTGCCCATGGGACTAAATTATCCTTCAGACTGGTGGTTTTGTCTTTTGATATCAATTCAGTTGGATTGGGGAGTGACTTAGGTCAAAATGCTCATATAAAAGAAATAATTAAAAGTCATCTAACGGATAAACGATTAAATAATATGAAGACTAGTTAGGTCATTCAATCTGTGATTTTTTTACTAGCTTTATTGTTAAGCTTAATTCCGGATCAGTTATTATTATAAATATAAAGAAATTAACGTAGATCTGTTTCTTTTTCTGGTTTCAAAACAAAAACAAAAGTCTACCACTATCATATCGTCAATGAATAAGTACATTCCTATCAAAATGTTAGAAATAAAATGCAATTTTGACTGAAGCTGAATAATTCATCAGTGTTCATTTATGTTTTATCCATTATGACTGTATTTTCTTTTTATTTATTTATTTATGTTTATGTACATAGTCAAGCATCAAACAAACGTCGTAACCGTTATCTAGATGTTCCTTGTTTAGATTCAACTGCTGTGGAACTATCAGACAATACTTATATACATGCAAATTGGGTTGATGGTTATCAATGTCCACGTGCATATATATTAGCTCAAGGTAAATTTTTTAAATTTGTTTTTATTGTTTAGCTTTATAAGCGATAAACATTAACTACCATCGAATACAGATAGTGGCTAGCAGTAGAATCCAGAATGTGCGTTTCGTCCTATTTGGGACTCGTCTGCTGGATGTACCTGTATCTCAGAGTTGATGTTCACCCTGGGACTCGAACCCAGTGACAGTCGCCAGTCGTAAAACTCAATGGGAAGATTCAAGCGAAACAATACTAAGTGAATTTAAATTCACCCCATTGCACAAGCAAGTGGCTATCGGGACTCAGTAGCTAAGTGTTAAATGCGATAGCGCTTGAAGCGAATGGTACTGGGTCTGAGTCCCGGAGTGGACATCAACTACCATCAATCTCATAATTTTTCAGATTGATACATTTTACATTATTTCTTTTTAAATTATTTGAAAATTTAATTATAAAGAGTGTTATTTGAAAACAATATTCAATGAAGATTTACATTCTGAATTAACGATTCGTTGATTGAAAAATGAATTGTGCCAGACATGTTTGGTTGAATTAATGTTAGTTTGTTTGTGGTGAAATTTACTTTGAAATTGTAAAAAGACTATTTATGACATGCTAAATGATTTATTAATACCTAGAACTAAGAAAATAACAATTGTGTGTTCATTTATTGCCTAACCTTATAATGGTATTTCATAGTTCAGTCAAGGTAAAAGTGATGCAAATCACCACCTACCAATGACTCTAGCTTGCATATTAACTAATTTTAAATCAAGACTGGTTCATTGAATTCTGACTTATGTATGTATTAATGTACTAGGTGAGAGTTGAAAGTATCAGCCTTCATCTCCTGTATGTGTGTGGTTGAAGTCAGGTCTTCAAAATTATAGATTATACAACTGTTTCTGTAGAAGTGAAAGTATTCTGAGGTATAGAAATTGTCACAATAGTGTAAAACAATACGAGGAGTGTAATTTCAAATGATTTATATGAAAGGAGGAATGCCAATTCTTGAATGTAAGCGATACTAGTAATACTTTCATCATAAGGACAGTGTGGAAATCATTATTTCACTCAAGACACTTAATATGAATACAGATTAGGACGTTCCCGTTTTTTATCGATAATTTCTTTCATTAGAATCAATCTAGTTTTTCGACTTCGTCAGATACAAATGTTAAACAGTAATGAATTTAATTTTATTAACCGTAAATATTTAGTTGATTGAAATTAGTCGTCCGAAATCTTTGAATCTAATTTCTGCTACATTTGGTAACCACTTATCAACAAGATATGTCTGAAATCCTGAAGAGACTTATCAGTAAAATTCGACCAGAGCTAAACACTAGACAAATACGTTCTTGCTTATTACTCGAGGATCAGTTAAACTTAAGGTTTTTTTTAAACAAATCGACTAGAATACAACCTCACTTATTACATTATTAAGTACAGGAAAACAAACGCAACCACTATATGTCTTATAGGCTGGTGGTTTTCATCATGAATTCAATAATATTTGTAAGGATAGTGTAGAATAACACTGAAAATCAGTGAGTATTGTGTTGGGGGAGATCCAGAAAACTCCTCGTAAAAAAGCCAAGAAATTCTCTGAAAATACTGAAAAGCATCTTATCTAATCAGCATTCACTAGAAGTTTTGCCAGAAACATCCAGAAAGTGAAAAGTTACATGTCGAGTTTCTGGTTGGATGATTATTTATGCTGCTATTATGTTTAGTAGCACTCCAGGATTTTCGGGAAACCCAAGGACATCTAAAATACTATAAAAACCCTAGATTTTCTGTACATAAACGGACCTTTGGAGTATAGCGTTTTCTACCATATTTCACGCCTTTTCTCTCGAGTTCAAGTCGTTGTGTAGATTTAGCCTGGGGTTTACTAGAATGGCTTAGGAACCGAATCTGTCGTTCAATTAGAGGACTTATCATATTTTCAGTCATTTCGTCCTAAGTCTTGACTACTACTCAGAAGAATGTTGTATCCTTCTCTGAACTTCACCCTGGAAATTCAATCTAAGTCTCACAATATGTGCATACATATGTCCATACTTCATATTTATTTTTAGTAACTCCATTTTGGTTTAGTTATATAATTAACTTTTTTCTTGAACAAACAATAATACTTAAATTTTGTCTGTCTAATTTATGATGGATCGTTAATGTTTAATTGAATTATGATCAGAATTCACCATGGATAAAATTAAAACAAGTTAGTAGTCAATACTGAAATTATACCACACACATCTATACACCCTCAAGTAAATTGTAAATTAGATCGCTTAATAACTTAGGCCAATACAAGAATAGGTCAAGGTCAATGAGAACTGTTCTGTTTCTATCCTTCTTCCTTTAAAATTTAAGGTATGTTGATTGATTTTGCTCTCTTGTTTGTTTAAATTAAGAGAACGTGGTGATAGTGATAGTAGTTGATTGTAATTGGTCAGTGCTTCTTATCAATTGGAAAATTCAATTCAAAACATGTTCAGCGCTACAATAAAGAAAGTTTTTGTTAAGCTGACATTGTCACGTTTCTTTTTAAAACAAAATTGTAACAATCCCACTAAATCGGAGCTCAAGAATAACAACGATAAAAAAATACACTATTCAATCTTTCTATTCCTGATTGAATTTTGTTAAGTCTGCTAATTCAACGCTTGACCCGATTTACTAGACGCTTCTTACAACGCCAAACTGAATCTACGTAGTAAAGTGAACACAAGAGAAAAGGTGCAAAGTGTAGAAGAATGTATTGCTCCGACGTTAAGGTATATACAGAAAGACGTGCATATTTAGACCAATGAACGTAGTCTTGATCATCTAGGAGCATATTAAATATAACAGTAAAGAACATTATTCAATCAAATATTTGACACGTATTCTATCATCCTTCTAGATGTTTCGAAGAAACTCTTTAACACTGTTTTCTGAGCCCCTATTGACTTTTCCGAGGAGTATTTTGTGACTCCTTAACAAATTTTATTTGCCCAGTTTTTCAATATGATCGTCGTCTAATAATTTAACATTGGAACAATTCAATGAGATTTTGTTCAATTCCTTTTTATACACTGTAACTCAAATTATTCTATACTTCATTTAAATATGTTGTTACCGTTGCGTTTAAATTACTTCTCGGTCTTTGCGTTTTATTTAAATATGGTTGCACTTCCTATCGTACATATGGTATACACTGTATCATATAAATCATGTCATTCGGTCATAAGTAATTTAAACCGTCACACAAATGGATGTTGACCTGAATTGCCACGCTTCACGTCTGTACATTTGAGTAACAGAATCTAACTTCAATTATTCCAGATCCAAATTAATCTTGTATATTTTCCGTACTAAACTTCTTGTGCAATCAAATTCGCTTGACAATACAATATTTGATAGTATGATACAAACTATTTTTGGAATGGATAGATTTCAGAGACTCTATTCAACAAACCAGACATGTAGGGTCCATAGTGTGCATGAAGTGTGTCTGTTGAAGTGTCTTCTGCGTAGATAGATTTGCTAATCAATCTTTGTATCAATTATTTACTGAATATATGTGGTCTATCTAGGTGTAAACTTAAGCAAACTAATATCTCATACGTGTGAAAATGTACGTGGATAGATACTCACAATTAATCATGTGAATTAATAAAAAACTCTTCAACAATATCACAAAATGTCTTACGTGATCGATATCTGATTATTTGGCGTTATACCAGTTCAGGCATTGGCACGTAACGTCAATTTATAGTACGAATGTGGGTTTGAGCAGCGTGTACTTCCTATGTTATAAGTGAATAATACAATATGAGGCTGCTAAAAAGTTTTCAACCATACTTGTGTATATATTATCATTTATAAAAAGTATGTATTTTGTGCAAATAATTTTTGGCTAGCCCCTAAAGGCCTCAGTACGGTCAAGGATAGAGAGAGACAGCTTTTCCTCTCGAAGTGCTGTCACATGACCATGCGTATACAACCACTCTACTCACTGCCTTCTCGCAGCGGGGGTGTTATGTACAAAATTGAGTGGACGAAAAGCGAATGTCTGGCACTCTAACCGGGTTGATGTACACAGAGGATCTACCTAGGGGATTCGGAAAACCCTGATCCAGTATCGTGAGGGAACAAATGGTGTATGAACCTACTGTTGGTCACCGGCTACCATGGGACTGCATCTCCTGACGTTACTCCACCGCCTTGTGAATCACACCTTTAGGTCGAAAGCTCCGGGTGTGCTACCCTAAGAAAACCACCTGGTTCGGTCTGGGCACCCAGACAGTATCACAGCCCACACACAAATCAAGTGACTTGTGTGGCGCATATGTATTCGGTGCATCTTTGTACTAATATTTATGCGTTCAAATAAATAAATGAATAAATATCCACCAATAATTCATCATGGGACTTACGAATCATCTCAAGTAATTCGTGTAGTGTCGACATCTGTCCTTAAAAATTACACATGGAAGAAAACAGCTCTTTCCTTGTGTTTCAAACGCTTCACTATTAAGGATATCAACGATGATCCGAATTCAAGATAATTATTGACGTCTTGTGCTGTTAAGAACGTCGGATTTGTGCATTATCTTATGCTTTCTAACCACGATTTCGTAGTTCAAATTATTACTGATAAACTGATATAAATAATTGATAGACCACACATTTGCGCACTTCTGTGTATATGTTTAACAATGAAGACAGTAGTATGATGTGTGTATAATAAAAAATGCTAGACGTTTTAAAGATTATAAAACCTTAGTCCACCTATTTATTGAATATACCATATATCATAATCACTAATTGACTAGATCAACTGCTATCTTTTATCATTACTTCCACGATTTTCAATGTTTGTATCATTCATTCTATCACTTAAGAATGTTAATTTATCAACGACATCTATCTTTAGTCACGTTAATATAAGAATACTTGATATTACAAACACTATAAATGAAATTAAACAACTATCATTCTAGTTAGTGTCAATAATTATAAATGAGAATAGGGAGAATCAAAACAATTGCTTTCACTTTTGTCCTCTGAATAATTCCTGTTTATCTGTTTATTACTATCACTGTTCATTATTACATAATGTCTAGATTATAAACTGACTAACATAAATAAGAAAAAACCCATTGGAAATCAAGAAATCGCATGACAGAGTAGAGTAGTAGCTTAGCGATTAAGACATCTATCATTAATTAAGCCACGAGTTCAAACTTCGATCTACCTACATCGGTTTGGGAAACCTGGTTACATCAATAACCCGAACACTTAAACTGTAATTCGAAGCTAAATGCACAAATCTCTACCCGATATATACGTTAAAGATGTAAACACTATGTGAAAAATCATTGAACAAGGCAAGAAATCAATGTCTTAAACATTTATAATTCACTAGGCCTAACACTGCTGATGATATTGTTTTTTTTTTAATTTTTACTTTTTTTTAATGAACCATGATACTGAAATTATACAGTTTACCACAATTATCAAATCCGAAACTCAATAATATCAGAAAGTTATTTGTCTGCTGTTTCTGGTTATATACCCAATTCGAAATTTCTCTCTCATTCCATTCTTATCGAGCTATCAATATGATGGCTCTAGATAAATAACAGAATTTGTAACCATTTGTTTCATCTCGTGCTATTATTATTATTCTTGACTCAGTCAGTTAGTCATAGTCAACGTTAAGCCTGATACCAGTGCTCATCAAATCAGGTTATCACACCCCACACCGATACAAAAAGAGAGCTACTGTGATCAATTTTATGGCATGTCACTCAGAGTATCGAGCAGGTAGATTTGTGATTATTACAAGGACCTTAACAAGGAAGTCTACATCTACTGACACGGTTCACATAAGAACTCATTGACTTCATTGCTTGATGCATTGTTTTAATTTTTTAAACGCAGTACGTTCTGCTCAATTATTCTGCAAACATTATTTGTATTACTCATTATGAACTTGTTTGTATTAAACAGATATGTAGATAGATATTAGGGATAACAGCCCCCAAATGCCCTGGTACGACCGAGAGTGGGGAGTGTCCGCTCTCCCTCGTCAAATGCTCTCACATGGCCACGCGTATATAGCCTCTGCCAGGGAAGTCCCACTCACTGCCTTCTCGTGGCGGGGGTGTTGTTTCCGAAAATGAGAGGACGAAAAGTGAATGTCCGGCGCTTTAACCGGATTCCAAACCAATGGTGCACATTGGCTCCACCATCCTAAGGGAACAAATGGCGTATGAACCAATTGTTGGTCACCGGCTTCCATGGGACTGCATCTCCTCACGATGCTCTACTGCCTTGTGGATGAGACCTTCAGGTCGAAGGCTCGGGGTGTGGCCCCCTAAGAAATCCACCTGGTTCGGTTTGGGCACCCGGGTAGTATCACAGCCCTCACACATGTCGAATGAGATTTGTGTGGCGCATATGTTTTTGGTGCCTCCTTGTACCAATATCTATGTGTTAAAATAAATAAATAAATAATTAGGCATAACAAGATAAGTTAGGCTACGATATTAGGGCTTCGACAACATTGGGTAATTGAATACAGAGCAGTCGGGATAAGTGGACACGAAAATCGGGACTTGATTTTCGTGCCGATTGACACTTACCAACAAGGAGTACCTAAGATCATTAAGGAACTGTTGCTCTCTGTTGGATTCGAATCATTATCATCCAGTTCCAGTCAGAGACATAACCATTGAACTACTTAAACGGCAACTGACTGTCGGTATGACCAAGATAGTTTCACTACTTGACCATCACGTAACAACCAGTGTCATATTCATCCAATCTAAATAAGCCGTCAGCACGTATACTATGTTTCAATGTTAGTTGATTGGATGCTATCAGTAAAATCCAAATAGCACCAAATATTAGGCTTTTATGAAATTAGTTACTACTCTGTAGTTAATATGATTTCAGAAATTTATTTAGAATCTATGTATTAACACATCGCTTAACATCTGTATTCAAACAATATCTTATTAGTTATTGTAAAATATCAAATCACTATCCAGACATCTGATTGTGATAATACCACTTCACTATCGAATTAAAATAATTCATCTCCTGTCAGGTTTCTTCGTCTCTGTTTATTCGTTTTACAAATACAGGTGTGTATTTTTTTTTCGTTTCTAGAATAATATTAGTAGTAGTAATCAAAATATGTGTGAATTGATTGAATATACATACAAAACAACCAAGTATCTTAATCATTTTTCCTACTTTTCACACAATCTGAAGATAGTTTAAATCTAGGACAACTGATTTCGACTAAAGATTGATTAAAGGTCGGTTAGCTTTAAATAACTTTTTAATTGGAGTTCGAACCTCAACATTCTGGACTTATCACTACTCCACCAGTTATCCAATATGGTGATCTTCAATTCTCATGGTGAACATAATACTTTCCGACGATTTAGTTAGCATTTAATAGCCAACATTTCTGTGTTCAGTTATTTTGTGGTATAACTTGAATATCTTTTAACACCATTGGTGGTGCGTCTTACTGACGGCATACCAGTAATGTAGTCGACAAGTGAACTACTACAGTATCTGTGCTATTCTAGTACAAATGTATTGCGTCTTCACTGTTATGTTGAAGTATATGAATGGTAATATACTCATCAAAAAAATCGTGAAGTTATTTATTTCAAGTATAATTGCTTACATACAAAAGTTAGTATTCAAATACGAAACCATCCTTCGGCATTTGTTTTATTTAAATACAACTACTAATAAGTAGTGTGGGTCTATATACAGAAATATCTACGACAATAGACATTAATAATAAATCAACCCTTAAAGCCACAAAATACTAGTTTTTCCCAAACCTTAGTTTGAATTACTTCCCTTCATTCGCGTACTTCATAAACACTATGGTTTTTTAACTACATCGAAATACTTTCAGATGGTCTCTTGTTCTTTCTGACTCAGATCATTTCATGATAAAGTGTCTCTGAGATCTATCTCTAAAGTACACCTTAGTTTCCATCCTAAGTAACCTAAGGCTTTCTGAATAAGTCAAGATCATTGATGTTTTGCACTATAAAATTAGTCCATCCCATTTTGAAATTTATTATCAGCTGCAAACAGACTAATATTGCAAACAATAATTGGGTTATAATCGAATGTCTGTCATAATTAACAAAATTAGAATGAAACAATAAGACGGAAGATGGTTTGTGTTAGTTGTGAGAAAATAGACTATTGACCTCATTTTGACTTGGTCGATGGAATTCGATGAGCACTAAAGAACTAGACAAATATGTCACTGGCCACTACTTTGTGGCCAATTAAATTTAAATATCTTCTCTAATGTGTCAGACTAAAACTGGGTGACACGACCTCAAAGAGAGAGAAGTTAAACATACTTCCCTTTTGTACACATTCGTCAGAAACTTATGATGGCGATAGCCTCGGCACATCGAAGTGAAAGGTGACATTCATTGTTTTTCAATTGTTTATGAACACTCGAAAAATGCCTACTTCATGTTTATTATTTAATGTCTGTCGATAGCAGTTATGGGAATTGTGATTCATTCCGGACGTAGGTTTCTCCAGGACTATTCCAGAAATTCCATGGTTTGCATCACAAACTAATTTTTGTCAACCACTAAAAATCAAGAGTCACTATACCACCATTTTGTCATAGTTACATTACATATCCACAACCTCACCGAGGTTTGAACCCAGGATTATCAGCTCACTGCTAACGCCTCCGACTTTAGACCAATGTCGGCATCCGCTGGTTCCTATTCGAGTTAATCTCACTAGTGTAATGTTTTCTTCAGAAGGATCCGAACAAATCTCTATGCTGTACGGAACCACTCTTCTGTTTTTTTAAATTCCTCTTCCCGTTAGTTTATTCCCTTAATTATATAAATAGTGTATTTTGATACACAAAGATTTCATCATTGTCATTATACTTCTCTCATTTTCAATCAAGGCCCATTAGAGAATACAATACGTGAATTTTGGATGACTGTTTGGGAGCATAAAGTCATCACTATTATAATGCTTACCAAGTTAGTATGTCTATTAATTAATTATTAATTTTTATTATCAATTATTCTTTTCATATCCGACTTAAGCGGAGATACCATGCCTTTTGAACGACCCTGAGCAATTCTAACATTTCAATCACTTGTATTAGCGTGTTGAATTGCAGGTGATACCAATGAACAAATTTTTCCAGTAAACGAAAAAAAGCAGGATGTATATGCACATTTTACATTGTTTAAGAACTTAAGAAAATTTTAAAAACGTCATATATTTTAAAATCGCAGTACGCTTTTAATAGAAGAATCCATTCATATGATTCTACAGCTTTTGATCTCTGGGGTTATGATGATGTCTAAGATATTCCCTACGTCGCCTGTCTTATAGTTTACGAACTGTCATTTGTCCATCACAACGTGATGCTTGTAACCAAATCCCTATAAACACTTATTAGCTTTCCACTCATCAGTATACGTTATCAGCCCTGGCTGGACATACTCCCTGTTGACAGGTATCAAGGTTGCAACCTGTCATTTTCTAACATATTGAAAATTTCTTTTTTGAAGACTTCTATCTAAAACGCCGAAACCTGCGTAGTAGGTTATAAGGGACTCCTACTTACCAAGCATACTTTGAAACTTGTTCCACTACTATATTTCCGCTTCATCTATTTCTACAATCTTTCCCATACTTCCAAGCGATAGATAAACATCATCAGGATAGGTTTGTGGAGATTGTTGAGTTCCGTTGAAATCGTAGGCCGATCAATGTTGGACCACCATAGAAAACTTGAAAACGTGAGACTGAAGGTCCTGGGCTCAGTCCCACTGTGCGTGATCGCGAATGCGCACTGCCTAGGACGAAACAGCCGTCCAGCACTTCGAGGTTTCAAAGGTGGCCTAACATTTATTGGTTCATGATTCCAAAGATAAATCTAAAGTCAGAGATTTGTGCGAACTTATGCCTCGGAAATACTGATACTGTGGCAGTGTCAAAACATTTACTGTCAGCTAAAGCAGCTTTAAGAGTGCCCTTTCCTATCATTATTCAATTAGTAGTAATTAACATTATCTACATCAATGTTAGATTCGAATAAACGAAGCAAGTACCCATTCCTGCTAATTTCTCTCTTCAGCATGCATTGCTTCGCATATATTTTGTTTATCCGTTGTGAATAAGAAAATAACTTATTAATTATTTACTCTGGTTATAAAAAATATTATTTAGAGTTATCGAAGGTCAACGTCCTAAATGTGCATTGTATTGGCCAACAAGAAATTCTTCTTCCTCCTTATCAAAAGATCAATCTATTCCCCGTAGTAGTGTTCACCCAGTGGATACAAAAATGACCTCAACAATCAGTGCTACTTATGGAGAATTTCAAGTGACTAATTGTGGTGAATCTATTGAAGCTGGTGGTTTATACAAACGAAGTGTTTTAGAAGTGACATGTAAATCTTCAGTAAATGATGTCCATAATTCTACTACTCGTATCGATGTCAGTAGATTGGAACGCAATCGACAAAAATCTAAAATGAATGTTCAAAATTCTCTCAAGGTAAATATTACATAACAGTGTAAATTCCAATATCCTTTCCTCATTTTCTCAAGGTAGTGCCTACAATTCATTTCATACAATAATCGTTATTATTCTTTATCAAATAGATATACTTTAGGAAACTTGCAGAGAAAATAAGCTAATTCGTCGGGATTGAAACACCACTATTACTACTAGTACTTCTATCAATTATCTGAGATCGTATAAATTATCAAACTTCCTTCTTCATCTAATTGAAATCAGTATCCAACATGTAGTTTCATATGCAAAAAATGTATGGGGACGGCTGAACTAAATTAAATAATTATTGTGTCTCCATACATACTGTCAGTATATTAGTACTACTACTGTTCGTTTCTCTATCATCGTATTGTATTTCTGCCTATTTGTTGTGGCTAATGAATGAGTAAAACTTCTACCTTCATCACAACGTCTCACCAAACCGGAATATCACTAAATGATATCACACTTCATACTTTCAATTCATATGATGCTGTAGACCCGATAATTAGACAAACCCAGTTCTTAATTAAGAGGTTCGGTGCCCGAGTCCTGTGGGCGTTGTCGTGGATGCGCACTGCCAGAATCCCATACTAGGACAAAACGGTCATCCAGTGCTCCCAGGTTTTCAATGGTAGTCTAGCTTCATATGTATAGTTACTTAGTAGTCATACAGTAAGAATATTCATGTAATATTAGTCCATGCGTAATTCCTAATGGCTACCATTCATTCATTCCCGTTCGGATATAACATGAAGGATTGTAATAATTATGATTATTGATAACAATATGAGAAAGTTTGTGGAGATTGTCCAGTTTGTAATTTCTTTCAGTCATGGACTGATTTTAGCCAATTAATCGGTTATATCCCATGATCGTTGGTTTCGAATACGATTATACACGCTCCCGCACATTCATTTATCCAACCAACAACGAGATCGATACTACTGAAGAGTGACTCAGAAGCTTTGAGTGACAAGATCTGTAGGTGCACACATATACCTGGTATATGATACATTTGTCGGGTTGTCTCAAACACTGGGGAATATAGTCTGAAACATTGGCTAGGGGCATAATTGGCTTCTTCAAAAAACGCACCTTATTTATAATTCCTCAACAACTATTTGACCTTGTGATTGCATATAGGAACAGATAAGTGATATGTCTACACTCAGTCGGCATATTACAACTAGTTGAAACTAGGAAGTTACTAATCAGCTTTGTTTCATCTTTATATATGAGACACCTTAGCAAATCCACACTTCTGGACCTCTTCAGGAATAATCTGTTCTATATAAACGGCAGTGTTTCCTAGCTTGAATTTGCTTTACACCAGGAATGATAAAGACAAATACTCTGACTAGATAAGTATACTCAGTAATTTCATATTCAACACATCCTCTAAAATAACATTTGTCGTCTTATAAATAAATTCGTTCATACACGTTGCGCTACTTTTAAGTATTGTGAACTGCTTCAAGTATACAAATAAACAAAGAGCTGAAGCTTAAGATGTCATGAGCTATAATATTCATCAAGAAAGTAAGCGATGTTTAATAGCTGGAGAAAAGGCTGTGTGACGTTACTATATAAAATGTTGAATTCGAGATGAAATGTGATCAGAAAGAGCATAGAGACATAAATAAGTCAATCAGAGGCAAAACGTCAATAGATAGTGAGGTTAGTGCGATGATAAATCTTCAGACATCTTTATGTGACTTTCTAACTTTCTCGAAAGAACACTTCACAGCAGCTTTGCGATTAGCTTCCTCTAAAGAATCACTGTTTAGGAACAGTCTGAAAGACAAGCTCTCGCACTTGACAAGTTGTATGTCCAATGCTCCTGCTCCTGTGATACTAACTATACAGGTCATTCGATGTAATTTCTATCCAAGATAATTCAAGAACATTTTCCTGCTGGGCTTTTAAATAAAGTGAAACGGATCAATGAGAAGCTCCATAGTCGAGCACTTTGTAAAAACAGATCGTTCGATATTTAAAAAACGTGATTTAAAAGGTAATCAGACAGCTGTCAAACATTAACCCTTCACCTTCTTAGAATTGCGCAAGCATTTGCTATACATCTGAAAACGCAGAAACTCCTCATAAGAAAGAAACTTATCCAAACTCTCCTTGTGCCGCAGTCTTAACCTTCCCTTTTTTTCTAAGGCCATCACCCTCTGTCCTCTCTCTTTAATCGATCTTTTACTCCGAATAGACATGTCTCTGTTTCCGTGCTCTTTCTGACCACAGTTCATATCAACTTCAACGTTTTATCTGAACATATCACACAATCTTTCACAATCATTAAGAACATTTATTCGAAGATGATAAGTATTAAATTTCAACATAATCATGGATCGACAACCATTGAAAGCATAGAAGCACTGGACTTCCGTTTCGTCCTATTACGAAACTATCCATCAGTGCCCACCTACGAACACTAACACCGTGCTGGCTTATTGGTCTGAAAGTTAAGTGTTTGTGCGCGAGACTGAAGATCCTGGTTTCGATCAGTGCGTGCGTAATCGTAGATGCGTACCGCTAAGGAGTCCCATACTAGGGTGAAACGGCCGTCTAGTCTTAGCAGGTATTCAGTGGTGGCCTAACTTAGATCAGTTTATAGTTTCTATGCAATTAGACTATTATTCTCTTAGTATATTTAGTAACTAACAGTGGGATCCAAGATGTACCAACCAGCGGGAAATTACGAATCCCTACTAATGTTTGCAGTTTAAGTTTAAATTAATAATTGTAATCGTAAATTTCATTGTATATATATTTACTTCAAGATGATTGGTTTTACTTGACCTGTATATAAGTTGATATTAATAATACTAATAATAATAATTGTCATCACTATAATATTTATTTCGAAACATGAAGTTTACCACTACCTTACTGTTATTATATATCTAGTGCCCTGATGAAATTCAAATACACATGTATATTATACATTTGTATTCGTGTGTGTGCTTGTTTGTTTTTGTATGATTGTGGGAGATATAATGGTAGTAAAAACCTAAGTCATTCATTATTTCATGTAATAAACTATATTGTTCAGTGTAATCTAATGTACTTCACTTTATATTCAACGTTTCATCTATACGCACAAACATACGTAGCTAATTTGACTTTAAACTACTAACTTAAATAACATCAAATTATATCTCTAAGTTGCTCTAATTGTAATTTTAAAATATTTAAACTAGTTGTTACTTGATAAATTAATGGACAATATGTCGACTTGTTTGAAAAAATCTAGGTTCCGGGTTCAACTTTCAGTGTGGATATCAACAGTACAAGGTGTTTATCCATCAGTTTTCCAATATTCAATAAGTGTGCGGTATCCAGCGTCTTCGATTATTTCCCCGTTCATTTAGTGTGTGATTGTTTCATATGTGAGTGTACTTTTCACAGGACATTTCCTTTTAAGCTCTAGGTTTCACCGTATTTGTGTTTTCCATCCAGCATGCTGGGAGACGCTACACGGATGTAATAAATTTCAGATGCTTAGAAAGAATTCTTCAACGAAAATTACATATTTTTGTGTAACACTCACTTACTAAATAAACGGAAAATGTCCAAAAATGCTGGATAGTGTACACGTATAGAAGATTCGAAAACGGATAAACAACCTCACACACATCAACAGTAATATGACAGGAGTACATCTTGCTAATAAATTTCAAATAGGGAGGAACGTATGCGTCTTTAATCTTTTCCAAAAATATGGTCACAAGGAAACAAATAGACTTAACATCTGTCAATACCATTGTGTTATTCAGAATATATAAATCAATAGAAAATACTTAGAAGCTGATCTTCGAGCTGCTTCAAATGACATTTAAATTATCCAATACTTATTCGAGCGATTGCACAGTGATTTTTTAGCCATATCTTAAATGCTACGAATACATAGTACAAATTTATGTGTAGCTTATGCTTAGATCATAAAACTGGGTATTATTGAACTCAACAACTTCAATCTGTCTAGTTGTTTGAATGTGATAAGTTAAACAGATATATATATATATATATATATATATATATATATATATATATATATATATTCCTGACAAGTCTTTTATATTGTCGACTTGAAAATGTCGTTAATAGGTGAATGGGAGTAGTTGTTGTAGATTCTACAAAAACGGATGTTTTTTGCACATTAAGTCTTCTCACTGTACATCAACTTCATTGATTACGAAAAGGCATTTGACAGTGTAGATAGGAGGACAGTATGGAAACTTCTTCGACACTACGGAGTTCCTGAGAAGATTGTCAATATTATCCGGAACTCATATGACGGACTACAGTGCAAGGTCGTGCATGGAGGACAGCTGATAGATGCATTCCAAGTAACGACTGGAGTCAGACAAGGCTGTCTACTCTCTCCCTTCCTCTTTCTTCTGGTGGTCGACTGGATTATGGAGACCTCGACATCTGAGGGAAAACACGGAATACAATGGACAGCTCAGAATCAATTAGACGATTTGGACTTCGCAGATGACCTAGCCTTCCTATCGCATACACATGAACAAACGCAGATAAAGACAGCCAGTGTAGCAGCAATCTCTGCATCAGTAGTCCTCAGCATACACAAGGGGGAAACCAAGGTCTTCAAATTCAAAGCAGAGAACAGCAATCCAATTACACTTGATGGAGAAACTCTGGAAGATGTAGAGTCCTTCACATACCTAGGAAGCATCATCGATGAACAAGGAGGATCCGATGCAGACGTAAAGGCAAGGATCGGCAAAGCAAGGACAGCATTCCTACAATTGAAGAACATATGGAGCTCAAAACAACTTTCAACCAATATCAAAGTGAGAATCTTCAATACGAACGTGAAGGCAGTTCTACTGTATGGAGCTGAAACTTGGAGAACTACAACAACCACCATCAAGAAGGTACAAGTATTTATAAATAGTTGTCTTCGCAAGATACTCAACATCCATTGGCCGGATACCATCAGCAACAGCCTTCTGTGGGAGAGAAAAAACCAGATTCCAGCTGAAGAAGAAATTAGGAAAAGACGATGGAAATGGATAGGACATACATTACGCAAATCGTCAAACTGCATCACGAGGCAAGCCCTAACTTGGAGTCCTGATGGGAAGCGTAAAAGAGGAAGACCAAAGAACACATTACGTCGGGAAATAGAAGCAGATATGAAAAGCATCAATAGGAACTGGAAGGAGCTGGAAAGGATTGCCCAGGACAGGGTTGGATGGAGAATGCTGGTGAGCGGCCTATGTTCCTTCACGAGGAGTAACAGGCGTAATTAAGTAAGTAAGTCTTCTCAATGTTCATCGTCGTTATGATTGTTATTTTTCTCTATGTTTTCATCATTCATTTCCTCCATTTCAGGAATCCAATGATAATAATACTTTATCAGATAATAAGTTAACAGTGCATCATTATTTATATTTGGGTTGGCCGGATTTCGATGTTCCAGCGGATTCAGAAGAATTTTTGAAATTTCTACTCACTGTTAAACAAAGTCATAATTCAAGATCAAAATTATTATTCTCATCATCACTGTCATCGCCGTCGTCAGTATCACCACCACCAACAACGTCAACAGGATCGTCAAATCACAAAACAACTTCTCAATTTGATTCTTTACCCCCATTACTGGTACACTGTAGCGCTGGTATTGGTCGTACAGGTAGGTGTATATATAATGGTCATTGTGTTTTGTTTGAAAGTGATGATATGTTGTTTGGTGTTCATCTTTCGTCATCAATGTAACAGTTATTTTACGGGATTTATTCACCAGTTTTGGAATGTTTGTGAAAACATCATGTGAAGCTATTGAGTTTGATTCCTAGAAGGATTATGAATGAATACTGATAACGAGTTTTATAACGTAAACAATTGTCCTTAGTTTTCAAAGGTTCAGTTATTAACAAAAGCAATAAACGACAATCTTTGTCACTGATTGCTTTGTTCTGGTTCGAAACCCAAAATCATTCAACATACATACACCCACATGATTAAACTCAAAGATTCACAGCTTATTTGGATGGCTTTGTTGTTATCAAGCCCTCTGAGCAAGATGGCTCAGTTACAGAGTTTTTATTGTCATTCTAGACAAGATCTTCAATGTCTAATTCATGTAGAAGTGAGCTTCTTGGTTATTTCACAAGTGAAACGATGCTTCTCCATTGGGACTATATATGACAGGCTTACTCTCTGCTCGCATACATACTCTGTGATGTATTTTCCGTAAATGTTTGCTTTTGAAAGTCATAATTTGCAAAACTCGACTCAACTTTTGTTGAAGTTTACTTAGGAATAAAATAACTATCTTGAGTGAAGAAATATAATTCTTCACACAACTAAATCCTACTTATATCATTACTTGCTACACTAATGTTTAGGTTTATATTCAAACATAAACATCTGAAATACTCGAGTGCTGTTGCAGGTACGAAGGGGTAGTTGTCACCTCTCAATTAGTTCTTCACACCGTAGAAAGACACTTCTTTTTAAAACATTATTATTATTATTTTAACACATAAATGAATAATCTAAATCTCTATAAATAAATATATTTGTAGTATCTTAATGAGTAGAGAAATTCGATTTTCTGACGTTTCGTGACTTTGTGTAAGCCACTTCTTCAGAGGATAAATAGCCAAATTAAAATTAATCCAAGTTTAAGTAGTACAACGGAACCGCAAGAATAATATCCTTATTGCGATATTACAAATATACTATTTATTTATAGCAATCTACCCAATGCTCAATTTATTCGAAATTATCAAGTCAAACCTTGGTAATGATACCTACGATCGAAATCTCTATTTATTAATTTAAACACATAAATATTGGTACAAAAAGGTGCCAAACATATATGTGCCACACTTCTTCGTTCGACCTTTGTTTGGGTTGGAATGCAACCCAGGTGTCCAAAACAAGGGAGGTGGTTTTCTTAGGGGGCCACACCTGGAGCCTTCCACTTAGAGGTCTCATCCACAAGGCAGTGGAGCAACGTCAAGAGATACGGTCTCATGTTAACTTTGTGACCAACAATTGTTCTCTAAGGATCCTGGAGTCCATTTGCACCATTAGTTTGTAATTAGGGTTTTCCAACTCCCCTAGGTGGACCCTCTGTGTACAGCAGGCCGGTTAAGGTGCTTGACATTCGTTTTTCGTTCTCTCAATCTCATAAATAACACCACTGGTGAGAGAAGACAATGAGTAGGACTTTCCTAGCAGTGGTTGTATACGCTTGGTAATGTGAGAGCATTTTGAGAGGGAGAGCTGACTCTCCTCACTCTCGGCCGTCACGTGGAGTCACTCTCTAACGTCTATTATTTTATCCTATTTCAAAAGCGTTTTGCAACAGTGCACATACTCTTCTCAAGCATCATTGTATCTGTCAAATTCATTTATATACTCTTTTTTTAAGAAACCGTAATCAGTTGCCTGTTTTTCTTAATCTCTCATTACTTGTCTCATCATATCTTACTTAAATATACTTTTGTAATTTTTTCAGAGATTGTTCAATTTTTAAAAAAATTTGCTCTCATTTACTTCTTCTTAGGAACATTTGTTACAACAGATATTTGTTTACAACAAGCAATAAATGAAGGTTATCTTGATGTACCAGATGTGATTAATCGATTAAGATGTCAACGTGCTGGGGCTGTACAAGTTGCTAAACAATATGCATTTATTCATCAAGCACTTGTATCACAATTATCAAAACAACAAATCAATAAGAATGATGATAACCAGTACAGTTGTGATGGGGGTAATAATAATGTTACTGTACTGTAAATATTCATCCCTTCTCTAAATCTACTCATCTATTATACCTTTATTTATTTACTCATTGTGATAAACCAAAGCAAGATTATTATTATTGTGCTTTTTTTGTCGTTGTCTTTTTCTTGTATGACCTACTAATACCTCTCTCTTATTGGTGTGTGCCTTTTTTCGACTTTTTTCTTCTTTAAAAAAATTTCCTTCACCATTTTGTGTAGTATTTAGTGTTTTGTCTTTGGATAGTTCAATTTCTGTTTTGTTGTTGTGTATTTCTTTTGTGTGTGTGTACACATTTATACGTATGTTTGTTTTTTGTCACGGAGAGTTTTACTATTATTATTATTATTATTATTATTATTATTATTATTATTATTATTATTATTATTATTATTATTATTATTATTATTATTATTATTATTATTATTATTATTATTATAACAAATTGTTGTCTATTTCCCATTGAAATTGTGCACAGATATAACACTGATTTTCTTTTGTAAAACTGACTATATTCTCTCCTTTTTTTCTTAATCAACTGATAACACATATTTATACTCTTTTCTTTCAATTTTTTCTCTGTGTACAGTGCATCTACCCTAATTTTCTCTATCTCACACACACACACATTTCATACATACACAGAGACAAACTCACTCTGTTAATCACATTAAATCTTTTTCATAATTCGATTAAATCATTTGCATGTGTAAAATTCGATCATGATCACAATCGCATTAGTCATCATTCGATATAATAATAATAATAATAAGTAAAACCCCCTTCTTCTTTTTCACGAATTATCGACCCCCATCAACTACATTCAATATGTCTGATTGAATTTAATCACTGAAATTATTATTCAAAATAAAAATCAATAAATACACTTTGTAAATAATACTTTCTGTGATTTATTGATTTTTCTTATATGAAATAAAATATATATATATAACATATTATCGCGCATTCAACTATCACTATATAGATCTTATTATAATTATTATTATCTAAACTATTTCTCTATTTGCATTTCGATTAAACTATTCAGAAGAGTGCATTCTAGTTTATCTAAATTAGAACAAAGTCATAAAAATAACATGAAGTACATTTGATTTGATGACAAATTTGTATTATATACACTATTCTATCGATCTATCTATCTATCCATCTACCTACTTACTTACCTATCTATCCATATCCATGATTTAGAAATTGTAAAATGTATACAGTGTTTATGTTTATTATTATAATGAATGTACTATGTACTTTATCATTACAATGTTTTCTCATTCAGTATATTATATATTCTGTAAAAAAAAACCCATTTTTTTCTATTATTTTTCTATATTACTACTATTGTCATTTGGTTTGTATTGTATTCAACAAATTAATTAATACTTCAAAAATGAATTGTTCTTTTCTCTTATATTCCTCTTCTTCTGTTTAAGAAAAATGACATATACATACTGTACAGTTAATTTGATCGTTTACCGTCATATATATATATATATATATATATATATAATGTCCTAGTTGAATATCTCCCAATGAATATAAACAGTCTATAGATATGTATTATTGAAACTTCATATATTTTGTTAATATCCATAACGATAATGATAATACTGTTTCCAAGACATGTAGATTCCTTAAATTTATGAGTTGGAAAAGTGTCATATTTTACTAATATTTATCACTAGCTGACATCAATCACATAGTAACATTACATATACAGTTCATGCTAGTTTTTGTTTGGTTGTTTGTTTGGTTTATGTTTTCAATTCCATAACACAATTCATTGGGGATTCATTTCAGAGATCAAACACAATATTATTGATTAATATTAGTTGTATTTAAAATGTATTTTATTAATTCAATTGTTGTATTGTACAAAATTAGATCATGTTTTTTTTAAAAAATGAGATAACCAGTTGTTATTGTTTATTCATGGAAATTGTTTCGTATTTTCATTTTGATTATTTAATAAATAAATATTTGATTGTGTGGAATTTCAATGTTTATTCATTACATCTTTTTCATTTATAAAATATATTTGTTAACAAAGTCATATTTTCAAGTTCACGATGTGCATTTCGTCCTATTCGGGACGCGTTAATCGAACTTATCTGCATCTCAATGTTGATGTTCACATTGAAATTGAACCTAGTGTATATTCTACTTCAAATACAAACCTGTTGTCCACTAAGGTATTCAATTTATATAGCTACTGGTATACGCAATGAGTATGAATTTTATTTGCATATGTTGGCGATTAGACATTGATGATAATAATGTAATTGATTAATTTTTATTGGTATATGCTCAAAATTGAGGTAATTCTCTCAGGATCCATTTGTCTTTAAAGTGATTTATTAATTGCAGTCTATAATTTTAACAAACAGAAAATAAGAAAAAGAGAATTCAGCGAAGAGAATTTTCTTTTCGACGGAATCATTTACTTAAGCTGTACATTTGTATATATAGTTATATGGAAGATGTATGCGTGCAGAAACGATTTGTCCAACCTCTCATCCTTTTTTGGACCTAGTTCCCTTAATGGGTATGTTTCTGCATTTTTATTTGATTATCGAATTTTTAAAATTACTATTTTCCATTTTAAACTCCAATCATTTATTATTATTACCTCATACAAGTTTTCTTGATTATTATTCAGTCTCAATTGATTGATCACTGGGTGGTGATCAATGTCATGCTTGTCTAGTCCTTATTAGTGCAGATCGAATGCTATCGATCATGTTGCAATGTGACTAGACAAGCATGACATTGATCACCACCCAGTGATCAATCAATTGTGATTACATCTCAGTCCTACAGGAGGTCAGTCGCGGCTCGGATAGCTCAGTGGTAACGTCTCTGACTGTGAAGCTGGGTGACACGAGGTCGAATCCGCCAGGGAGCACCAGTTCCCTCAAGATTACAGGTACACCTTGCTGACGAGTGCCAAGTAGTACGGAACCCGGGTCCATGGTTTCCTGTTGACTACCGCCAACCACTACCTAAATCTCAATATATAGTACCCGCAGTGTCGAGTCACCTAGACTGGTGGCCACATTGCAACATGATCGATAGCATTCGATCTGCACTAATAAGGACTAGACAAGCATGACATTGATCACCACCCAATGATCAATCAATTGAGACTGAATAATAATCAAGAAAACTTGTATGAGGTAATAATAATAAATGATTGGAGTTTAAAATGGAAAATAGTAATTTTAAAAATCCGATAATCAAATAAAAATGCAGAAACATACCCATTAAGGGAACTAGGTCCAAGGAAGGATGAGAGGTTGGACAAATCGTTTCTGCACGCATACATCTTCCATATAACTATATATACAAATGTACAGCTTAAGTAAATGATTTCGTCGAAAAGAAAATTCTCTTCGCTGAATTCTTTTTTTCTTATTCAATGACACTGGGTTATTTTAATTAAACAGGAAACACTAACCCTTGCAAGCTATTTCATTATAGTTTCAAACTATGTGATAATGTATAATCCATAACCCTATATAAGATGATATCTAACATTTCTAACCACATCTCATGATGAAAATGATACTATTAGATTAGAGTAGATCATTGGATTTCATTTTTATGTGTAATATATCATTTTCATATAAATGTGGAAATGAAATCTAGTCAAAATGGTCATAGAAACAACAATATATCTAATTCATTCACTGATAATAACTCCTGACCAGGGTTAAAATTTATCGAACGCAAAATCTTATTAAAACTTCGACAATTCTTTCAGCAAATCATTATCATGACTATCAAAGTTGACATTTTGTCAAAATCAGCCTAATTGAGATTAGTTATCATTATTGACTGTGCTCCTATATCTGACTACAGGTAGGATTGCATATTGATTGTCATCGAGTTATTGAAACATACATGTCATCCATCCTGGCTACCCTCGTATAAAATTATCGACTTAACTCGCGTTGGTGAATAACGGAATTAAATAAGTCAAATACGAGAATGAATCCCGAATACGCGTATTTCATATAATCGTTGATCCAAACAAACAACCGAAGAAATTAAGTGAATAAAACAGATCGAAGCAAAATGACGCGCGGTGGAGAAGGTATATAGGTCAACTCAATTTAACCAAGAGTGACTCAATCTTAATAGTCAGACAAAAATGAGTTACAGACATATAATGCGTAGGCTAAGAGATACACAAACATACGCTTGCATAAAAACAGTCAAGGTTGACAAGCGAATAAGTGACAGAATAAAAATATGGCTTGAGAAGAATGTATAGATTGATCTGTTCAGAGTCTAGAATAACCTATTTCGACTTGACATAATACCATACCCTACAATATCACCTGGAGGATTGTTAAGATCAAGACAATACTGAATGACATTTGTGATGCTATAGTATAGGATTGCAATAGTGAACTTTTTTGATCTCATTACAAGATCTAAGATATGATCCAATTTTATGTGTTAGTTAAAATCAATTAACTAACATGAGATTTATCTGAGTATATTTTGGACAAAAATAATGATTGTACATATTCATATTGGTACAAAGATTTATGGTATGATTGCATTTTGCATTTTTCCACTATTTATTATAATGAACTAAGCATAGATTTTGATTTGTTTCACCGATGTGTTATTTCATGAATAGAAAGAAATATAATATAACTATTCTTTTTACCTTTTACAAGTATCAATAGTTACATAATCAATCAGGATGAGATTATAATTTATATACAACCTTTGAGCGATGCTAAAGTGACATTGAAAATGTCCACATAATAACAAAGACTAAATGAGGGTTATAAATCAGCGTGAGGAATTAGAATGATAATTTCCAGTTGATGGTTAGAGTTAGGAATTCAATTTAGAGTTTCCATCACGAACTGACATCAGCTATAATGCCAAAACTCTATTTAACCAAATGAATGAGTGAATTTTGCACTAAAATCTGAGACCTGTTATCTTATGCCTGCTTGGTTTGCCCATGAATGATAGACTCATCGAATTATTCTTCTCTGTATTGTTTTATAGGTTTTTTTCCTCTTGATTACATATCCAATAATTCTACATATCGAACATTCAGTTAAATTAGAAATGAAAACAACTTTACAAGATTTTATTCGAACAATTTTTCCAGAATTAATATTGATAAAGTTGAGTCCTCTATGATAGACAGTATAACTATGATACTTTCATTGACACCCTAAACGACATTATTATTACGATCACTCCCATAAAGTACAAGTCTTTATTGCCCCCAAATACCCTGGTATGGTCGAGGGTGAGGAGAATCCTCTTTCCCACTTAAAATACTCTTATATGATCACGAGTATGCAGCCACTGCCAGGGAAGTCCTACTCACCGCCTTCTCGTGGCGGGGGTGTTGTTTACGAAATTGAAAGGACTAAAAGCTAATGTATGTTTGTTTAACCGGGTTGTTGGACATGGAGGTACCACCTAAGGGATTTGGAAAACTCTGATTCCAAACTAATGGTGCACATCGGCTCCACCATCCTGAGGGAACAAATGACGTATGAACCAATTGTTGGTCACAAGGCCACCGTGAGACTGCATCTCCCGACGTTGCTCCACTGCCTTGTGGATCAGATCTTTACGTAGAAGGCTCCGAGTGTGGCTCCCTACGAAAACTACCTTCTTCGTTTTGGGCACCAGGGCAGTATCCTAGTCCGCAAACAGATCAACTGACATGTGTAGCGCATAAGTATTTGGTGTCCCTTGGTACCAATATTTATTCAAATAAACAAAACAAGTCTTTATCACTATTACCAAAATAATAACGAAAGTATTAGGTCCCGATAAACATAATGAATGGTAACTTATGGAATCCTTTTATGGACCAATACTAAACGCATATTTTTATCGTATAATTATTAAATAACTAAGCTATTCATATTCATGTTCCTCTTATGATGAGCTTTATTTTGATCTATGAACTATTATTATACGATATACCATTCTTGAATTATGCCCTGTCTATTAGTCACTGCTTCCCACATTCACAGCCACATTTGGCTAAATTTTGTACAAATGTTATTTTCTATTTTATGCTACGTTGTGGTCTGTTTGATTGGTATAGAAACTCAGCATGTTTGATATATAATGATTTATATTGCAGAGACTGAGGCTGGTGTTCTGGACTTAACTAGCTGGGCTATGTGGAAAGCAGGACCGATCACGACTCTAGGCTGCTCGTACGTGTTTTGCGCGTCCTCGGTCCGATCGATAATTCGCTGCTTTTGATTGGCGGCTTTGGACTATAACAGAAAGTGTTCAGTCAACTATCTCAATGTTTTTTTTTCTCATTTTGATCCAAGTAGCTTTAGCTGTTGATGTTAGTGTGTATTAGGCTAGTTCATTCTGGTTTATTACTTAACAAGCAGTGTTTAAGTCATAGATACTGTTAGTCTCAATAAAATCACATGTTACACGCGTCTGAATTTTAGTTGAATTGAATGAGTCATTCATCATACATGCCGTGAGCAGAATACAAATTAAGCAGTCTTTTCAAGGTAATTGTAATGATGACTAATTATCATACGTTTGTAAATTGTATGTCAGGTTAGACACTATGAATAATTAGCTATTTTTATTGACATGCCATCCTAGTTATAATACTAAACTTTGTTGTACGATTAATCCCAGTAAGGGTGCTACTAAGATCCAGGATCCACTAGACGTCACTTTCGCCTTAGAATGCGACAAATTCACTGTAAGTATCCACTTCTTCAGCCATAGAATTTAAGACCCTTAGAACTTGTGGGAAATGTTTAATCATTAAGACCAATTCGGTGGTGCAGTTTTCAAACTTCAGTCCATTGCCAACATATTATGTAGGTCATCGAGTTCATTAGTGATAACTGTCCCATTCTAGATATATCTAAAATCTCTAGTTTTTAAAAGTACTCTGCGATCAATTCGTGATGAATATCACAAATTAAAATGATCTTCACAATCCCCTTCATGTAGACTGTTTTTTCATTCAATGATTTGCGGAGTATGTTGGGTATCCAATGGAATCATTGAAAAAGTAACCTAAAATTCATTTAATATTAAATATTCTGCAATGACTTAACTGGACTGTTGTTATGACCTTGATCTGTCTACTCCAGATTGAGACCTTGACGCAATAAGTTGGCCGGTTTAACCTGGAGGCTAGTACGCGTGAGTTCGAGGTGGGGTAGAGAGAAAACTAATCTAGCACCCGATCGGCTGGCAGGCACGCGAACGAGAGAAGACAAGACAGTTGGAACACTATTGGCTGTATTGCGATATCCTCAGCTTACAATTTTACATATTAAGAACTAAATTCAGTTTACAGATCACAGTTGAAACATTTGAGGAGAGCAGTTATAAATGATGACTATCTTTAATAACTGATTTCCTGCGTTAAACTGATCTCCCCATTTAGTAAGTAATATAGTGCATTATTTTTGTCCTCCAGTTTTTATTTGATCCTGTAAGGACTATAACACTATATTCCTAGCAAGTATATCAGTGGGTTGTCAGCGCATCATATGTGTTGCACAGGATCATACATCTCACAAGTAAGAGACTGATTACAATTACACTGAATAAGTTCATGAGTCCATGACCCTGATGATGTATTGGGAAGGAGAAATAATTCTTTCAATTCATCACGAGTAAGAATTCCAAGATTTTTATCAGGTTTCTTTTTTGTCTCAATAAATTCCAAAATATTTGTATTATACATTGATGTATTGACTAATGTTTGACTGGTTAAAGCTAATTTAGCTGCTTGTCGCTGAAATATACGTTCTTCCATACCACTTGCTGTTACTAACCGGTACAAATTAACCGATCTAGTTTGTCCCGGACGCCAAATACGAGCCATAGCTTGTGCATCGTTTGCTGGATTCCAATCCATATCGAACAAAATTAAGTAATTGGCACCAATTAAATTTAAACCTATTCCACCCGCACGTGAACTAAATAGTAATATACTTTTATCAGTTAGTTTTGGTGCAATGACATCACATGTGCGTCTTAAAAAGAAACTGTTCAATAGTCGGAATAATTTGGCTGATGGACTTTCTAAATCATCAAGATTCTTCTCATAGTTTGTATAACTCCAAAAGTAAGCGACAATTCATAAATGCCAATTTTTTGGAATTCTTCTTGGTGAATCTCCTCAAATTCTAGTAGTATACAATGACAGGTAAAATTAAATAGTTCAATGGTGTTATATCCCGATGAGAATAACGATTGGTCACTGTTGGAATCTATTTCTGGAGTAATACTATGTGTATATGTGTATCGTATAATTGTTAAGTAACTAAACTATTCATATTCATGTTTCTCTTATTATAAGCTTTATTTTGACCTATGAAGTATTATTATACGATATACCATTCATGAGTTATACCCAGTCTATCAATTACTATCTCCCACATTCACAGCCACATTTTGCCAAATTTTGTACAAATGCTATTTTCTATTTTATGGTACGATGTGGTCTATTTGGTTGGTATATAAACCCAGTATGTCCGAAATATAGGATTCATATCTCAGAGGCTAAGATTGGTGTTTCTGGACTTAACAGGCAGGGCTAGATAGGAAGAAGGACCGATAAAAGCTATAGACTGTTCGTACAAGCTTTATGCATCATTGATTCTGTCGATAAATCACTGTTCCCTAATTGGTGGTATCATTACGTCATAAATTAATAGGGCACAAAGTCATAAGTTATAACAAATGGTAAAACAGTTATTTGTAAATAAATCCTCTTATTTTGTCTAAATTTGTCTTGTAAAAGTTGAGCGACTTGAATATTCTATATGAGAACCCCTTGTAACATTGTTACTGTGCTCTACTAATTAACCATTTGGTATAAGTTTATTTTCAAATACATTAAGACAATTATTATGGGTTATATTTCACATGAAAACAAATTTTATCATACATTTAATTATAGGTATAATCATAAATTTGAACTTGGCGATAATATAAATGAATTCGGTAACGTTACAAGCTACATTCACTCTCAATTATGACATCATTTACTAACAAAAAAAATTAGGACAATCTAATAATAATAATAATAATAATAATAATAATAATAATAATAATAATAATAATAATAATAATAATAATAATAATAATAATAATAATGATAATGATAATACATCCATACTAGATGCGCGATATTTCAAGCTTTAAGCGTTATTTGACCGCCATATTTTCTTTAATCAGTAAGTTGTAATCCTCATGACCTTAGAATCATATTGTTAAATGAATATGAAGTGTATGTAACAACTAATCTCATAAATTGAGATAACCATTTTAACTTCTATCTGACACAATCAGTTTGTGTAGTCTTATGAAATAAATTTGGGTCAGTCATACGACTTTATTAACCGACGAAATATAAATTGTAATTATAATGTATGCTATTTTTGACAAATTAAAGAGATCAATTTAGAGGGAGAGGTTATAGATGTTGTAGAATATTTCAAGTTTAAATTAGGAACTGACCTTAGCTTAATCGCCATTATAGAACTTGAAAACTTCGGACAGCTACTTTGTCCAAGTATGAGAAGCTATTAACCAGTGTAGTCTAATCATGTTGCGTTTGTGACATTTATCCACCACAGATTATGGAAAGCGATTGCTCATTATCGGGAATTAATTCAAGTTAGACACGTACACTATCGAGTCCCGGCTTAGTAGTCGAGAGGCTAAGCGTTTGCGTATTAGACTTGTAGTGACCTACTTTTATCCAGAGAATGCGATTGGTTTAATGGAAACAATTATTATTATAACCAATTGTACCAGTGATTGTTTTACTGTACTTGTTTGTTTAACTGTACTAAAGACATCGATTATTCTTCCATTCTTTCTTTCGTTGATTGTGGTCTTGCACGAATTCGGTTACGCTCAGTAACCACACTTGTACTCCTTTGGCACGATCTCGGTACTATTTCGATACCACGAGTTCGCCAATAAATACATCTCGACTACAGCCATCAACTGCCTTCTGATATTTGGCCTATGTGGGATCTTATCGGTTAACTGGCATGTAATTTTCCCGTAGTGGTGATCATAGTCAACCTCGACTCGACGCCACACTACAGACTGAATACTCGATAATGAGTGGCAAAATCCTTGGTACACATCGCTGGGACGAAACAGCTGTTTCTTGCTTCTTAATTATCATCAGTGGTCGGGCTAAAATCAGTTTATATCATAAACTATTAAAATTGAGGAGTCCATGTCACCGATTGACTTTAATTGAACCACGACAACTTGCCACCACTGCTCTTTGTTTATCTGATTAAGTTAATTCTCTAGGTTAATTGTCTTCAACTTAAACACAATCTTCAAAGAACTTTCGTTTTAATTTTAATAAATAACATAGGAAAAATCACATCGGAATCCTACAATTATTTTCAAACACTTGTTCTAAATTATTAAACAATGAAATCATTTATTTTCTTATATGGTAAAACTCATCATCAATTAACAATAACTATATTTAATTTTCCCATCAACTATTACAGACAAGTCGTTGATTTAAACAGATTACAATGTTCCGGGAATCGAACTCAGGACCTATCAGTCTCGCTCGCAAATCTCGCGAGGTGGAATTGTGGATACGCACTTCTGAGGAGTCTCATAATAGGACAAAATGGCCGTCCAGTGCTTCCAGGTTTTCCATAGTGGTCTAGATTCAATTGATTCATGATCTCAACCGTTGAAATTACTATAATATCCACAAAAACCCTTCTGATAAAACAGATTATTAAATAAAATTACTCATTATATGTTTATTAGAAAATGAAGTCTAAGAGAGTACAGTATATAAACCCATATAGCTAAAGATTTTAAAGAATAACAAACTAGATACAGATCAAAGAATAATAGATTGATAGATACATTACACATTGAATAAATTTATATAGATACTAGTTAGTTACATAATTTCGAATGAATATAAACTAATGATCTAATTATTAGTAATAATAAGTTTAGAATCTAAAAAAAGAAAGAGAATAACAACAGTTGTATAAATCTTTTATTCCGATTCATCATTTCTCTTCATTGGATTGATTTCTACCACATTGATCAAATTACTGAATCTTAATTAATTTAATGAGAATAAATAAATTAGGATACTGAACGCTGTTGAAATGAATATTGATTTGACTTGAACACTGTTAGTTAGAACACTTTGATTACATGCATCATCTGTACAAATACAATAACGCATTTTCACTTTATCTGTACCCACTCTGTCTATACATTGAGGGAATTCCGGTGAGATTGCACTACAATCACGATAGATTCGTACAGTTGGCCTATTCGTAACATTATGACTATACATATATGGTGCCTCCTGTTTAAATATTAAACAAAATAAAAGTAAGGTGAATGGTGTAGATTATATACTACTTATATGAACAAGAACAGTGTATTCTCGTCTTGTAAATAATAAATAACATGAAACTGAAATAACAGCTAACATCTGTTAAACAAAAGTCGACTGTTCTAATTCAGTTAGCTCACTGAAAAATTTCTTTGATGCTTGGAAGTGATGGATTTTGAGTTCATGATTAACTGGCAACAATAATACTACTTATAAATAATATGTAATTATTAATCATTACTATAGAATCTGGCATAAATATGCTTTAGTTCAAGTTTCAACACTTAAAAAAAAGAAAGTCAGAATATGATAAGCGTTGATAACGCCAATTAACCATTAAGAATATAATTGGAAAAGAAAGAACAAAATGCTTGAAATAGCATTATTAAACTTAAGCTGTTTAAGAGATGGTAATGAATGAATAACATTTAATATCATTAACTGCATATTCTGTCTGTTTCAGGGTTTCCAAGTTCATAAAATAAGTTATCATGTTTGAGTATTCAGTACAGAAAAAGATCGGATAAACGGATAGAATAAGGACCGCTTAATTAGAATTGAGAAAATAACTTTCGGGTTTTCATGACACATTAAAAAACAAAAGATTTTATCTTCTATCATCTAAAATTAGTATTCGAAACATCATTCTATAACACTCAAGATCCTAACATTAAATTCCTAACGTCAAATCTTTAATGCTAAACTCTTAATCCCTTAGTAATAACACTAAATGGATCCGCTGACTAGACACTATCAGCAAAAAGCTACTGTGAGAGAGAACAAGCCAGATCCCAGTGGAGGAAGAAGCGCTGGAAGTGGATAGGACACTGTGGTGTTTGAATGAACTGATGATTCCTTTGTACTTGTTGAATGCCTGATTTCGAATTCCAGATACAGAACATTCGTTCGTACTTATCTAGTACTTCTTGATCCGGTTACGTTAATTCTGGGATTCTTAGTTCATACTATAATTCAAATACTCCTAATCATCATAGACGCACATTGAGTAAAGCACCCAACTACGTCGCAAGACAAGCCCTCACATGGAATCCTCAAGGCCAAACGAAAAGAGGAAGACCAAAGAATACATTACTCCGAGAAATGGAGACAGACATGAAAAGAATGATCAAAAATTGGGTAGAACTAGAAAGGAAGAATCAAGACAGAGTGGGTTGGAGAATGCTGGTCAGCAGCCTATGCTCCATTGGGAGTAACAGGCATAAGTTAGTAAGTATATAATAACACTAAATATCTAACCTTAAGTTTTTAATCCTATCCCTAACCAGGAGCAATATAAGGACTCCTAAAAATTTATTTTAATATTACAGAGGTTTGAAAAGATGTACAATCCGTATTCATATGGACGAATTCATATTTAATTTTTTTATTTTATTAGTAGAGTAATTTGTAGAACACTTTAATAGATTAATTGTAATATTATTGTCCTTTTTTTCATAAACCATTTATTAACCAAAGCCATTCTCGACTTGACTAAAATTCGT